CACTCCTCTGCCTACCGATCACTCGCTCTCAGCTCCACCTTCGGACGAGTCCGTAGAGCCGAGTGGCCTGTATCCAGAGCTTGTGGGCTGCCTCATGTACCTAATGACCTGCACTCGTCCTGACCTAGCCTACCCTCTCAGCATCCTGGCACGCTATGTTGCGCCCGAGAGACACCGACCAGAGGACCGGAAGGCCGCTAAGAGGGTGATGCGCTACGTGTGCAGTACGTCACGCATGGGGCTCGTGCTTGGAGGACGGGGTCGAGTTGTCCTCACTGGTCACGCAGACGCTTCTTGGGTTGACGACTTGGCTACGCAGCGGTCATCACAGGGTTACACTTTCAGCCTTGGCTCCGGCTCTGTTTCTTGGCGATCTACCCGCTCGTCTGCTGTTCTCAGTTCCAGTTGTGAGGCTGAGATCTACACAGGGGCCATGGCTGCACAGGAGTTCGCTGACTCAACTACTTGCTGATCGACTTGGGAGAGCCGCCTCGTTCTCCTCCAGTTCTGTACGTGGACAACAAGGCCGTGATTTCCTTGTGTCAGGACCACAGACTGGAGCACGGAACGAAGCACATCGCTCTGCGTTACTTCTTTGGTAGAGAGTTGTAGCAGCGTGGTCAGCTTCATCTTGCTTACGTGGCCTCTCGGGCCAACACTGCTGATATCTTCACCAAGGCACTTCAGCCTTGTGATCATCAGCGTTTCTGTACTGTTTTAGGCCTTGTACCTACTTGGCCTCACTTGCTGACTTCTTGACTTTGCTTGTATTGTGATCTATATACATATACCTGCGTGCTTGCACTTGTAAGGTTTTGATCACTGTACCGCTTGTTCTCTATTATATAACTCTGCATGTAGACTGGCCTTATGGCCATATTGCTTGTGCTCAAAGTGTGTTGTGACTTTGTGATCCACCCTGAGCTAACTTTGCTTTTCTTGACTGGTCTTGTGACCTCTTGTTCTCCCCCACTTTGCCTATGGGGGTGTGTCAAACTTATATGTTGCATGTTGTATAGGTTGTAGTGGGGTAGCCCATATGGGGTACAACCCAAATTAGAGTTAGTACTTGTTCCCATCATGCTACTAGTTCATTCATCCTTGTTTTCACATTCTGACAAATTCAACATATTACCATTGTCACATCTGATTGACAGGGGCGTCCTGTTTAAGACGGATAAGACATCGCACTGTACCGGGATTCACGAGGATGGAAAGGGCCGAAGAACCCACTACATGCTATCTCGGCTGCACGCAACCCAAATACGTTGTCTGCGTACTGTATTTCGAAATCCCTGACTGCAACAAAAATTTGGAAAACCTTATCGACCTTGTTCCCTGGTCATGCGCCTGGGAAGCGACCAGGAAACCCACACACCTCGACGGACACCCGTGGATTAAACATCACGTGCACCTAAGGGAAATATATTGCCACGCACGGGACTCTATCGCAGTCGCTTTTGGGTGGCAGGTACGGGCACGGGCAATGGCTTCAGCTGAAGGCGGCAGCAGGCGGTAGCAGTGGCTGCACATCTACTCTCACATTGAATCACCCTCCCCCACAGCAATAGGTGTGGCAGGGAGAGAGGAGGAGGTGCAGCAGCGGTTGATGCTACATCTGGATTCACCCACTCCTTTAACCTCTCCATCGCGACCAGGGAAGCATAACGGGCGGCAGATGCGCAATGGGCAAAATCTGCGCGACGGGTAGCAGCTGCTCGACGGGTAGCAACTGAGTAACGGGAAGTACTGGGACAGGCGTCAGCAGGGTGACGTGCAGCGCGACGGAGGGCGCCACAGCGAATAATTGTGGGCCCATGGGGAAAAAACGCTGCGGGCACCCGGAACGTTATCGCTCTGATACCGTGTCTAAATACGTCTTAGGGCTTGAGTTGAGGAGCCATGACTTAGAATAGTCTCAAGCTAGATTGGCGAGAGAAGGGATAACGAGATTGAAGAAAGGAGGGGTTTCACGATAGGGTTGGGAAAAAAGAATGTGCAACACCAAAAGATAATAAATACACCAGGCAATCGCAGAGGCAGTTATACTATAATTATATAAATATGTTTCTAACAACAATATGCGCCAAACCATGCACCGCCGTGTTGGCCTACACTTTGGGACTAGCTCGAACATTGCTGCTAGCATTGCGTAGCCTAGCTCGCATTCGCGCGTTACTGCATATATTAGCCCACCCCGTACTATTATTTTGACCCCTATTCCTATCCTTGATTGTTTTTTCCACTGACAACGGAGCCAACTTTTGGAATGCAACAACTAAAGTTATTGTATGTCTATTTATGATTGTTACCATTTCATAAAGATAATGTTGGCGGTGTACATTTGTCCAAGGCCCTGCAAACCAAGATGATGAAGTGGTGGTTAGTCCAGCGTGACAAAACGCCGCACGTGACCTCAGATGAAGACAACGGACAATGACGTTCTGCATGTCCATTACTGTATATGTTTGGCAATGACTGCCCTGATTGTGAGCACAAGGTCCTTCGCAGAATCGTTGATCAGAATGCTTCCCGCTCGTGCCTCACGGTGGTTGTGAATGGCGGCGATATCTAAGTACCAGCATGATTTGCACGAATTGATCAGCCACAATCATCACCATTCAAGATGAAACAAAACCACATCAAACTGAATGTTGTGGTTTCTACGCCAGTCGTCAGCAGCACACGTCAGTTTCATTGCGTTGGCTGGTTGCACACCTGCCCGCCGCATGGAAAACTATGGTCAGTGCTGGACAACTGCCATGCCAGCGTGTCAGTCGCCCCACCTCTCCTTTCCCTCGTCGCCGGGCTTTCCGAGATTCTTCCTGCGCACCGCACACCCAAGCATCTACTGTAGCGGCTGGTGCACCCCAGCCCAGACCCAGAACAAGCTCCAGCAAGCCCCAGGGAAGGATTTCTTCAGGCAGCGCCGGCGTGGTCCAACGGGTGAGTAGGGGAGGTGAACTCAGTCACATGAGTCATGACTTGTGCTGCCGCTATTCAATGCTTGTTCGACCCACTCACTGTTCGTGCTGCCACCGTCGATTGAAAAACCCCCCAACCTCATGACGCAAGCACGGCCACCCATCATCCCCCTTTCCCCTCGAAATTTCGGTCCGCCATGCCACGCAAGCTCAGCCCCCGCCGTGCTTCACATCTCCGCAGTAGCCGTCAAATATATATTTAGTGTGTTCCCCTTTTACACCCAGAAGAGTCCCCTTATATATTGCAAGAATGAGAACAATCGCATTTTTCTTATATCAAAGCCAGAAACTTAGGAATCGTGGAATTCTTAGTGTGTTGTTGTGACCCAGACTTATGAACGTGTGTGAGCGAACAGAAGTAAAAAGGAGGGAAAGCTTGTTTTTTGGGAGGCTTTGTGGTGGAAAAATAGTCAGGAATAAATGGCTCCCGTCAACCCCGCCAAACTGTCAACTGCGGTTTCCTAAGGGGCTTCCTGACACTTTCCACACCCATCACCCACCGCGTCAATTCCAATCGGGGCCTTTCCCCTGCTCATTTCCCCCATGCTCATCTCATCCCATCCCACCCTCCTTCCGCTCCCCATTCCACCGCCCCACCCCTCCCAGCCGCTCCGCCTTGCGCAGCTTCTTCGACCCTTCACCCGCCTCCTCCCCTTTTCCCGACTCCCGAGCCCCTTCCCCGCTCACCCATTGTGCCCTCTTCCCCCCACTTACCCCGCCAATCAGCTCCTTCCGCGCCCCACCAAGCATGCCCCTTTCCCCTCGACCCTCGCCTTGATTCTGTGGCTTTCCGCCTTCTCCTCTCCGTCGCTCTCTCGTGCTCGGAGAGCAACTTGCATCTACCAGAGACTTGCTTTCACACCTCGCTCTCTCGTGCCTCTGATTGTGAAACTTTGTTCAGTGGTTGGCTTCTTCCACCATGGACGATTGATTGCTCGTAGCTGCTATTGATCCAGAGAAAAGGATCCGTTAGTAAAATCTCCCGGCTAGAAGCTCGTTATATGTAATGGCTTCTCGAGGAAGGTCCACGCCGTGTGGACGATCCATGGCGGGAATTTTGGATGTTCATGTCCATTACGCGGCAGGACTCCCCTCATTGTGTGACTATGGCGAGCAGGACGTTTACGTTCGTTTTTTATTCGGCGAGCTCGATCCGCTCTCCGGTGCCGTGTTACAGGTACACGAGTCTATTTATCGACGACCAGTTACCAGCAATTCACGATTTCCGTCTATTGATAGGAGCGTTGCATCCGCTTAAGCGTTGATCACTTCCCAAGTGTGACCGACTTGCCTTCACCTTATTTTCTTCGACCTTGCGTTTTCGCCGTTCAGGCTTAGAGGAATCTCGTCGTAAGGATTATTGCTCGCGTAGCGTCAATATTTGTGTTTCCCGATTCCCACCTTCGTGAGCAGACCAGGACGGTCCGCAAGGGCGGCACACGTCCCATATTCGACCAGTCGTTGCAAGTCGGAGTCCCGTCGGGCGAGCAGGTTGGTGCTGCCTTGTTTGGTACGCAACCACAGTTGTCTCTTGCAATCATCATAAAAAGATGCAGCAGAGACGTGTCGACTCCCATTACCAGTCGTTCCAAGTCGGTGTCCCGTCGGGCGAGCAGGTTCGGGCTGCCTTGCTTGGTACGCTACCATGGTTGTCCCTTGCAGTTCTCGTTATAGCATGCAACATCCACGAGTCCAAACTAATTCGACCAGTTGCGTCACTTCGGAGTCCCTTACAAGCGTACAGGTTCGCGTCGATTGTACCTACGTTGCGTTAGAAAACTATTGAATTTTGAGCCTTTTTGAGACCGCTTAAGACTCCGGAACTGTTTTCCGTGCCACTTTCTCGCGTGTACGTAAGAGAATACGGCCACTCGCGATTCGTCAAGCCTTTCGGCGCTCGTCGCGCTCGTCGCGCTCGTCGCGCTCGTCGCGCTCGTCGCGCTCGTCGCGCTCGTCGCGCTCGTCCCGCTCGTCCCGCTCGTCGCACTCGTCGCGCTCTCCCTCAACACTCCTCGCATGCTTCGTGCCCCTCCCCCTCCTCCTCTCGCCCGCCCCTACGTCTCTGCTGCTGAAGTTGCGGAACTCCCACGTCGCGCTCTCGTGGTGGAGTTCACATCCTCGTTATACACGTGGCTCCCCGCTGGTTCGTTTTTGAGTCGACTCAAAAGTCACTTAGGTCGGCGTGGACAGCGGGAATCGTGGCGGACTGGTTTTAGAGAATTCTCAAAGACCAGCTCGTATTTTTGGTCGGCGTGGACAGGGGGAGGCCTGGGGGACTACCACTCCTCCCATCCCGCATCCCACTCTCCACTCCGCCACGCTTCCCCTGTCCATCTCGCCAAAGCGCAGCCTCTGCGTTCATGCGCCGACCGCGCAGTCGCGGTCAAATGCGGCTCATTCTTTCCCCTCATCTCCTCTGTCTCCCTTCCCTCCTTTTCCCCTTCCCCACCTCCCACTTCTCTCCGCTTCCCCCTTCGTTCCCCTCTCTCCGCCCCTCTCCCCTATCACCCCCCCCCCCTTTCTCCTTCCCCCCCGCCCCTTCTCCCCCCTTCCGCGCAGCGTCTCCGCTGCGAGGTGTTCATGTCGCAGCCGCGCGGGCGCGATCAGCTGCTGGGCGCTGCGAACGTGTCGCTGGAGGAGATTATATCGCGTACGGCCAAGCTCTCGAAGAAACCCGCGGAGTTCAAGTGAGCTCCGCTCTCGCGCTTCATCCATTCGAGCATTCATTGGCGCATGTTGTGTCCGATCTTCGCGAATCGCCTCCCCTTTCGCACACCCCCACTCCCCTCCCCGCCCCCACTCCCCCCTCCCCCTTCCGCCCCCCCACCCCTGTTCGATTCCCAACTTCCGTTGTCTTTTCAGTCTCTTCTCCTACCTGCTCTTCTCTTGCCCTTCTCACGCCTCCTCCCTTTCGTTCTCGCTCGGTTTAGTAGTCTTTGCAGGTTCGTACCAGTTCAAACCCGTCTCTCCTCTCGTTCTCTCCCCGTGACGCTCTCGTCTTCTCCGCTTCCCCCCGCCAGACTGCTGAGCAACAGCAGCGCTCCCGCGGGTGCGCTCGTGCTCACGCTCACTTACCACGGCCGCTCCGCCTCTTCCTCTCGCCCCGCCGCGCAGCCCGCCGCGCAGCCCTCCGCGCAATTCGGTGCGCAGTCCGCCGCGCAGTCCGACGGACAAGCCGGCGCGGCGGCCGCGGCAGCGGCGGCGGCTGCCGGGGCGTTCTCGCGGTTTGCGTTCCCGCCTTCCCCGCAAGATTCCGCCTCCGCCGCCGCTGCCGCGATCGCGCTGCTCCCCGCAAAGAGAACGCCCCCCCCGCTCCCCGCGTCGTTCGCGATGGTTGCGCCCCCACCCAATTCTGGATCCCTCCCCGCGTCTAGCGCTGTAGACGCGATAGCAGCCGCGCTATTCCCGCGGGCGCACATCCAAGCGCAGTCTCAGGCGCAGGCTCAGGCGCAGGTTCAGGCGCAGGCGCAAGCGCAGGCGCAAATGCACCCGCAGATGCTGACGTCACCTCAGCTGACTCCGCCCATGTTCCCCCCCGCGTCTTCCCCGTTTCCGCCTCCCCCTTCCCCGCCTGGCGCTATTGCGCAGGCGGCAGGGGCTTCTGCGCCGCCCCCTTCGTTTTTTAATCGTTCGACCTCGTTAGTATCACATCCCTCGCCTTCGTTAGTATCACATCCTGCCCCCTCGTTACTGTCACATCCTTCCGCCCCAGCGGCGCCGTTACTTTTCAACCACCTGGCCTCGTCCGCCGCTGCGCTGTCATCGCAGCGCTGGGGCGCAATGGAAGGCGCGTCGCAGCTAGAATCAAGGCGGGTAGTAACGGGGACGGAGGTGGAAAATCGCGCAGGCGGGGACTTTACCAGCGCGAACGGGGCGGGGCAAGGCGCGCTGCGTGGTATACCTTCCGCGGAGTTCAGTTTGGGGGGAGCGCGGATCGGCGGAGCGGGAGTAGGCGGCGCAGGAGCAGGGGGGGCGGGGGGAACGGCGGGGGTAGCGGGGGCGGCAGCGGAGCTGATGACGATGGCACAAAACGACAGCACGCACAGGTCGTATCTGGCCAGGCAGTTACTGGACTCGAGCGCTGCAATGCAGGGCGGCGCGAGTATGGGGCCGCTAGATTTGGGTCCATCCAACGGTGGAGATGCAAGCATGGGGGCGGTAGATCTGCCGGGTGCTAGTTTGGGGGCTGTGGCCGCAGGATCCGCGGAGCCCGTAAAGGCGGAGCAAGCAGGCGGAGTTCTGGGGGAATTGGGTGGGGGAAGGATGGGGGGAACGGGTAAGACATCCCCGCCCCCCTGCTTGGATCTCTCCGCGGGTCTGGGCAGAGCAGGGGGAGCGGAAGGGGGCATTGGGGGGAGACGGAAGAGCTTGAGGCGGGAACGGGAGTGGTGGAGTGAGGCGAAGGCGGAAGCTATGGAGGTGGAGGGGGGAAGTGAGGGGTGCAGGGGAAGATCCGGCGTAGGGGTGGTAGAGCTTGGATTGTCCACTGTGGCAACAGCAACAGCAGCAGCAACAGCAGCAGCAACAGAAGCAGGTGGGAACGAGAGCGCAGCGGATGGTAGCACGAGTGCAGCAGCAGCAGGACCGAGAGCAGAAGCAGGAGCAGAAAGGAGCACAGAACCTATTGCAGACTTGCTGAACGTTAACCATGCTCATCGTCAAAACGAGCAGCAGCAGCAGCAGCAGCAGCAGCAGCAGCAGCAGCAGCAGCAGGAGGAGGAGCCGAGGCTGATGCAGCTGCTGCCTATGCAGTGGTGCTCGGAGGACAGAGAAAAGGACAGTTCCGTGCATAGTAGAAGCGGCGACAGACCGTCAGGACCGTCCGATAGACGATCTGGTCTCACTCTTTCAGATAACACACTAGCGACCGTTGCAAGCCCGGACCTATCCATTGGTAGGAGGGCAACGAAGCTGAGCCTGGAGCCTGCCGAGCCAAGCAGGCACGGCTTGGCGTCAACTTTGACTCTAGGTTTGGAACCCGAGCCTGTTGGTGAGTCGGAAAGAGCGCCCGTCGCCTGCCACCCTGCGCCCTTTTCCATGGCCGTAGGCTCATCCTTCGAGCCGATCCAACAGGCGCCTTTTCAGGTGCCGTTTCAGGTGCCACAACAGCATCCTGGTCAGGCGCCTCAACAGGCGCCCATATCTATGGTTCCGGGCGTGGGCGTGGGCGTGGGCACGGGCGCGGATACATACGCGGATACATACGCGGATACATACGCGGATACATACGCGGATACATACGCGGATACATACGCGGATACATACGCGGATACATACGCGGATACATACGCGGATACATACGCGGATACATACGCGGATACATACGCGGATACATACGCGGATACATACGCGGATACATACGCGGATACATACGCGGATACATACGCGGATACATACGCGGATACATACGCGGATACATACGCGGATACATACGCGGATACATACGCGGATACATACGCGGATACATACGCGGATACATACGCGGATACATACGCGGATACATACGCGGATACATACGCGGATACATACGCGGATACATACGCGGATACATACGCGGATAGTAGTCATCCGGGCAGTTTAGGGGATCAACTGCATGCAGCAGTTGCAGCGTCCGCTGCTGCTGCAGCCGCTAGTGTTGCTGCTGCTGCTGCTCCCGCTGGTGCTGGTACTGGTGCTGCTGCTGCTGCCACTGGCGCGTTTTTCTCTGCTTTCCCATCGCATCCACCCTCTTCCATGCATCTACCGACACAACCCGTGCCGGCGCTACCCACAGAACCTGCCTCTGCTGCATCCCTTTCGTTCCAAGGCCCCCCCGTCTCTGCCTCCCCCCCTGTCCCTCTCTCTGTCCCTGTTCCTGTCTCCATCCCTGCCCCCATCTCTGCCCCTGCCCCTGTCTCTCTCGCCCCCCCTGCTTCTATCTCCTCCTCCTCTCGCCCAACTGCCTCTGCGTTCCGCCCCTATCCAGCCACCCTGCGCACTGATACCAAATCGCCCCAGGCAGCATCTGCCGCCGAGCCTAGCCGGCCCGGCGGGGACTCTTCCAGGCTTGGCACAGAATCGTCGAGGCTCGGCGCCGAGCCATGCCGGCCGGCAAAGAAGCAGTGCTGTTCGCCTGCCCGGCAAGTCTACCCCGTCTCCCCTCAGCAAGCAGCCGCCTCACCTCAGGACCACACTTTGCCTCAAGACCATATTTTACCTCGGGATTTAAAACAGGTTGCTGCTGAAAAGCCCGCTTCGTTGCTCCCGTCCCTCCCCTCCTTCTCCTGTCGCTCCCGCAGCACTGCTGCCTGCCCTGCGGCTGCTGCAGCCAGGTCTCTGTTTGGAGCCCTCATGGGGTCAACTGGGTTTGGTAGTGGCGGTGGTGTGAATGCCAGTGCCAGTGCCAGTGGCACTGGTAGTGGTGGCAGCTCTGCGGCTGGATCATCAGCTGCTGCTACAGCGTCTACAGCCGATGCCACAGCTGCTGCTGCTGCTGCTACAGCCCCTACAGGCGCTGCAGCTTCTACAGCCGCTACAGCCGCTGCAGCTTCTACAGCTGCTGCTACAGCCCCTGCGTCAGCATGCCCCGGTGCGCCCGCGTGGCTTGTGGCTCTGTCGTCCTCGCTTGGTATGGGCGGGTGCAAGCAGCAGCAGGCGCAGCAGCAGGGGAAGCAGCAGCAGGCGCAGCAGCAGGCAAAGCAGGGGAAACCGCTGCTCACCCAGCAGCAGCAAGGAAAGCAGGCGAAGGAACAGAAGCAGCAGCAGCAGGGGCAAAAAGCGCCGCTGCTGCAGCAGCTACAGCAGGCACAGCAGAAGCAGGGGAAGCAGATTCAGTCAATCGTTTCCACTCCTCCCGATGCCGCCGCATGTGGATCACGGATTCTGCGCTTGGCTGAGCTGCTGGGCGAGGTTGAGAGCCATCGTAAGGCCCAATCGTCGTCCTCACCATCTCCACCGCCAGCAACAGCCGCAGCAGCAGCAGCAGCAGCAGCAGCAGCAGCAGCAGCAGCAGCAGCAGCATCAGCATCATCATCAGCAGCAGCAGCAGCAGCAGCAGCAGCAGCAGCAGCAGCAGCAGCAGCAGCAGCAGCAGCAGCAGCAGCAGCAGCAGCAGCAGCAGCAGCGCCGGCGGGATCCCTGGCAGCAGGGTTAGCAGCTGCAGCGGCTGCAGCCGCGACAGGAGCAGGGGCTGTAGCAGGGGCGAGAGGGACGTTAGGCAGCAGCAGGGGGGGTGATATTGGGCGGAAGTCTCACACTCACAGCTCATCACCCCAGTCTCCAGCCCCGGCCCCGGGCCTGATAGGCTTGGGCCAAACCGGCATCCGAGCCTCCTCCAAGCCTTCCTCCCGTTCGATCCTGCCTTCCCCGTTTGCCGCCAGTGATGCTGCTACCAACACCTCTGCTAGTGCAGCAATGGGTGGTGCTGGTGCTGGTGCTGGTGCTGGTGCTGGTGCTGGGTTAGGGGCGGCTTTTGAGTCGATTCAAAAGTCACCTCGGGGTGCTGGTGCTGGGGGTTCAGGGGCGGGTGTAGGGGCGGAGCAGGGCACGAGGAAGGGGAGTTTCCTTCCCCACCTGATGCTGGCGCTGGAAAACTCTAAGAAGGCGAAGCAGAGCACAGGGGTAGGTGCGCTCAGCAGTGCTCTCAGTGCTACAGCCGGTGCTACAGCCGGTGCAACAGCCGGTGCCGTGGCCGGTTTTACAGCTACTGCTACAGCGAGTGCTACAGGTGGTGCGTCTAGTGCTGTCTGTGGTCCAAGGCAGGCTGGCAGCAGTGGCACACCGGGTATTGCTGACATGGCAGGTATAGCTGGCCCCAATCGAGGGCTAGGCGCAGCCATTGCTGCTGCTGCCGCCGCTGCTGCAGCTGCGGCTTCTGCTGCTGGTGCTGCTGGGTCTAGTGGGTTGGCAGGGGGGTTTGGGAGGGGTAAGGGTGCTGGGGTCGCGTCTGGTGCGGGTGCGGGGGCAGGAACGGGACTCGGAATGGGAACAGGAACGGGGTTTGGTAAGGGAGCAGGAACGGGAGTAAAAATGGTTGAAGGGGGTGCAGCAGAGGTGGGTGCTGGGGAGGAAAGACGAGGAGATGTGGGAGGAGGAGCAGGAGGAGGAGGAGGGGGAAAAGGGCAGGGGCAAGCTGCATGGCACAGGGAGGACCAGATTACTCCCACGTCCGTCCTTGATGTCGCCATGTCTGATGCTGACAGGTGCGATGCGGTGCGGTGCGGTGCAGACAGGTGAGGTGGGGCATTGATTGGGGTGGGAGGGCAGGGGCAGGCGGCATGGCACAGGGAGGACCAGATCACTCCCACGTCCGTCCTTGATGTCGCCATGTCCGATGCTGACAGGTGAGATGCGGTGCTGACAGGTGACATGCGATGGTTTCGGTTGAGAATTTGAACCGAAAGGGTTAAGTACGACACATATCTCCCCCCTCATTTCAGTTGATAAACCCTTTGTTTCCGTCAACCCCCCTCTCTGTCTTTCAACCACTCTTTTCATCAACCCTCCCTCTGCATCTCTCCCCTCGTTCCCCACAGCGAGCATGCCACAGAGGACGTGCGCATGGCTGAAGCTGCCGGTTCTTCTCACATGCCTTCCCTTCACCGTGCACATCTGACACATCAACCCCCCTCTCTGTCCGTCTCCTTCTCCCATTGCTCTTTGCAGCGAGCATGCCACAGAGGACGTGCGCATGGCTGAAGCTGCTTCTGCTCCACAACCACCGTCAACAATAGTAGCAGCAGCAGCAGCATCAGCAGGAGCAGGAGCAGCATCGCATGCATCATTAGCAGCATCAGCATCCGCCCTGCCTCCCAGCCTCGTAGCCTTCTTGGCATCCCAGGCTGCAGAGGCTGCTGCTGCTGGGAAGAACCGTCCAAATCTAGCCACCCAGCAGCAGCACCAGCAGCAGCAGCAGCAGCAGCAGCAGGAGAGGGCACAGACGGAGGAAGGAAACGGGCAGTTCTCACCAAAGCCTCCTGCCTGGCAGCGCAGCTTTGCTGCAGCATTTGCAGCAGCCAGTGTGACCCCCTCAGCTCATGCCGACGCCTCCCCTCCTATTCCCTCTGCCCCCGCTCCTTCCGCTCCTGCTTCTGCTCCCCCTCCCAATCCGGCTCCGCCTGCTCCTCCCCCTTCTGCTCTCTCTCCTCCCACTGCCCCCAGCGCGTTTGCCGCGTTACTGAGAGCCAGTGAGGCAGCTAACCCCTCCACACCTCTCCACCAGCCCAATCACAGCCTCAACCCCTCTTCACCCCTTCACCACCAGCACCAGCACCAGCACCAGCACCAGCACCAGCACCAGCACCAGCACCAGCAGCTCCAGCACCAGCAGCACTACCAACACCACTACCCGCATCCGCCATTTCTTGTAGCAGCCCCTGCAGCTGCAGTAGCAGCAGCTGCACCACCCACTGCAGCACCAGCATCCCGATTGCCAGCTCCCGTCAATAGCACCTCTCCCTCTCCCTCTCCTCCCTCTCTTTCCTCTCCTCCCTCACCACCCTCCATCCCCTCCTCTTCTCCTGCTTCCTCCTCCAACCCCTCCTCCACCACCTGCCCCCTCACGGCCCTCCGAGGCTCGCTGCCGAACCTCCCGCTGCCGGGCCTACCGCTGCCGAGCCTGCTGTCGTGGCATTGCAAGGTGGAGGGGGAGGAGGCGGCGCTGCTGAGAGAGCAGGCAGCCGCCATCTGGCAGGTCTCTAAGGCGCTCATGGGTCAGCAGGGTGGGCAGGGGCAGGGCCAGCAGGGGCAGGGGCAGGGCCAGCAGGGGCAGGGGCAGCAGGGACAGCAGCAGAGGCAGGGGCAGGGGCAGGGGGAATTGGCTTATTTCCCGAAACCTATAGAGGCAGCAGAACCAGCAAGTGCAGCAACAAGCGAGGCGGGAGCGGCAGGTGATGGAGCAGCAGCAGCAAGAGAATCAGCAGGAGAGGCAGTAGGAAGCCCTGGGTTGGCGGGTATGCAGGCTCTGGCAACCCTAGCTGCCCTGCAGCAGCAACAACAGCAGCACCAGCATCAGCAGCAGCAGCATCAGCAGCACCAGCTTCAGCAGCAGTCAGATTCTTCTGCTGGAGCTGCTGCTGCTTTTTCGCTAGTAGATCCTGTTTCTGCTAGTCGTGCAAAGGCTGCTGATGCTGCCGCTCATGCTGCTGCTGCTGCTGATGCTGCCACTCGTGCTGCTGACGGTGGTGCCACTGTTGCTGTTACTGCCGCCTGCACCTCAGCCGAACGGCTGTGCAGGAACGGAATGACATCGGATCGCTCTGGGAGCGGGAAGAGGAACAAGCGGCGCTCTTCCCACTCAAACACCAACACCACTGGCACTGCCACCACTGCCACCACCACTACCACTGCCACCACTTCTGCCAGCACAGATAATTCCTCTGCTTGCAGCCCTCCTGGTGCCATGCCAGGTGTTACGCCAGGTGTTTTTTCAGGTGTTTTTCTGCCTGTTGTCACATCGGGTGCGATGCCAGGTGCAGGCACGGGCACAGCAGCAGCAGGCACGGCCACAGCTACAACAGCTGCTGCAAATCATTCGACTAGTGGCTGTGTGCAAGCAGAACAGCCACACGAACAAACGGCATGCTCGGCACACCAGCATGGGGCGAGCGGCGGTGCGTTGGCGAGCTTTGAAGCATCTCAAAACGCGCATCAAAGGGGAAACGTGCATCAAAGAGGGGGAGCTGGCAGTGTGGTGGGGGCACACCAGCAGGCTGTTAATGGCAGTGCGATCCCAGCCCAGTCACATGGGTTGGCACAGCAGCAAACGACAAGTACGGCGGGTGCAGCACCAGCACTGGCACCAGATGGCTGTGAGATGTCAGCGCAACAGCATGCAGCGGCGGTGTGGCAAGCGAGCATGGGGAAGAGCAGGGAGGAGGCGGAGGCGCTCTGTGAGCAGGCTGTGCGGGCCGGCACTCTCACTCACGACCAGGCGGCTGAATTCTGTGGACTGCTGTCCAAGGAGAGCCTGCGGAGCTTGCGAGAGGTGAGCACAGAAGGGTGGGATGTTTCAGGGGTGCTCCATACAGGACTAGGAAGACAGCCATCACACGCACTCTTATCCCCCCCCCTCCCCCCCCCCCCCCCCCCCCCCTTCCCTCCTCCCCCCTCTTTCCTTGCTTCCCTCCCTTCCCAACAGTCTCTCTTAGCGATGAGGATACGTTTCGGGGCTGCTCAATAGAGGACCTGGAGGAGAGTCGCAGGCCGGCGTGGCGGGAATTCTGGGAGAAGCTAGAGGCGGACAAGAGGAGAGGAGGGGCAGCTGCTGCTCTCAACTCACAGGTTCCACTCCTCCTAATCCACCCACTCTCTCCCGTTCCTCTCGCCCCAACCAACCCCCCACTTCTGTTCCGAGCAGTCTCTCTTGGCGATGGAGGACAAGTTTCGAGGGTGCTCGATAGAGGACTTGGAGGAGAGCCGCCGGCAGGCGTGGCGGGAGTTTTGGGAGAAGCTAGAGGCGGGCAGACGGCGAGGAGGGGCGGCAGCTGCTGCTGCGGGCGGGCCGAATGGGGCTGTGGGAGCTGGGGCTGGAAGCGGTGCCGGCAATGGCTCGTGCATATTTTACGGCAGCCGCGCGTTTTTCTGAGGCGGCGTGGCATGGTGTGCCAGGAGTGGGAGGAACCGGTTTTTGAAATTGGAGGGAACTGGTGAAGGAAATGGTGTTGCATGCATGATGCTCTTTGAGTTCTGGGAGAAGCACAGGGATGCGTATGGAGACGGGCAGGTGGAGAGGAGGAGAGGAGGAGGGGGGATGACTGCTGCCTGGGATGCACAGGGCGGGCCGAATGGGATGCACAGGGCGGGCCGAATGGGATGCACAGGGCGGGCCGAATGAGGCTGTGGGGGCTACGGCAATGGCTGCTTGTGCATATTCTACGGCTGCCGCACATTTTTCTGAGGTGCCATGGCGTGTGAAGGAAGGAATCGGTTTGCTGGTGAAGGAATTGGAGTTGAATACGCTCTTTGGGTTTCAGGAGAAACTGGAGGCGGACAGGAGAGGAGGGGCGGCTGCTGCTGCTCATGACGCACAGGGCAGGGCGAATCGGGCAGTGGGAACTGCGACTGGGAGTAGTCCCGGCAATGGCTCGGCGAGGAGGGTGGGGGTGCTGCTCGTGACGCACAGGTCGGGCCAAAAGGGGTTGTGGGAGCCAGGGGTGGAGGCGGTGCGGGCTTTGGCTTGTGCATTTTTTTACGGCTGCCTCTCGTTTTTCTAAGCCGGCATCGTGTCGCGTGCCATAAATGGAAGGAAAAAATATCGGGTTGCTGAAGGGACTGGTTTCCTATACGTTCTTCAAGCCCCACAGGCTTTGTGGGTCTGAAATTTCTTAATTACATACCGGTATGAGATTGCGCCTAATTTAGTAGAGCTGGTTCAGATAGGGTGGGTGATTCCTAAGTATCTATTGTAAATGCTGATTATGCAAGATTTAGTGTAGCATCTTGACCAGTGGTACTTCCTAATAGCGAAGTCCGCGGTTTTAGACGTCCGGGGCGCGTTTCAACACAAAAGAAGCTCCTTTCATGTGCAAATTTGGGTACGTGTCAGTTACAGGCTTGAGTTGCCCCAAAATGGAACGCGCGCGCGAGAGCTTCCACCTTCGCAAGGGCGGGTTACAGCCCGAAACGCGTTGCAGCACGATTCGAATCGCAAATAACCTTGAAAGGAAACGAGAAACACGCCTCACAAAACCTGGAGTTCTGCCTTTCGTGCGGTATTCTAGAACCACCGCGTTTGAACTCTTGAATATTCTCGCAAGAATTCCGTTGGAGGTGTCGTCGATTAGGGCTTGTTCCGACATCGCTTCGGCATACGTGCTTTGGCGTTTTCACAGTTCCGTTGCTTCTGCGTCCCTTTGCCTTCACGATAGAATCTTCCCTTTCCATTAAACAAAACCGAGATAACAACAAGAGCCAATCAGCAAACCAGTCAGCGTGAGAGGAGAATCAGCCAATTGTGTGGAGGCACTTTTGAGAATTCTCAAGATTGACGCCGATCGCGCGGAGGCATGTATGCGGATCGCCTAGAGGAGGAGCGGGAGACCGTGAGAACCCGCCTCTCGGGGGGCCGAGGCGGCGTGCGCACAGGCGCCGCGAGCACCGGACCAATCAGGAACCGCGTGTCGTTCAAGAAGGGCGGCTCGGCCACCACATTCAGGTGCGCCGCGTCTGCCTGCGGCTCGGGATGCGTCGCATTCTGCCTGTGCTTCGGGTTACGCCGCGTATGGTAACGCCTTTGGGTGACCATTAAGTTGACTGAATAGTCATATTCGGGTACAATGACTCAGATAGAAGCTCGGTTGCGCCGCGTATGATAACGCCTTCGAATGACTATTGAGTCGCTGATTGAAGCTAAGGTTGGACTCGGCTAGCTGGGCGTGGTAGCAGCTGCTTTAGCCGGTCCCTGCGAGTGTGGTAGCTCCTGATTTAGGCAAACCCTTTATTTTCTGTGGTGCAAGTCGGGTTAGGGTCGGTTCAGTAGTGTGGGAAGGAGTATTTGCTTACATGACTTCCTTTGTATGCGGATTGGTGTCACCTCGGTGCCTCAAGGGAGGTTCAGTGGAACGGAGAGGGAAGGAGAGGGAGGAAGGGGAAGGTGGCCAAAAAAGAAAAGGATGGGGATGCGGAAGGAGAAGGTTGGGAGGGAAAGGACGGGGGGGAAGGAACAGGACTTTGAAGGAGGGATAAGGCATTAATTAGTTAAGCCTGAAGGACTATGTATTTACGAAGGGCGGAGTATATTTTAATCTTGTTTGGCCAGAGCGGCGCCCATGATGAGTCGGTTTTTGAGTCGACTCAAAAACCGACTCATCTTTTGAACTTGTTTGACCAGAGCGGCGCCCATGAGCGGCGCCCATGATGACCCTGCTGGGTACGGTGCGACTTTCATCCAATCCCTTGCTCCCCACCTTTCTCACCACCACCATTCAGGCGACACTCTACTGGCGGCAGCGGTGACGAAGACAGATGGCATCACGACCTGTTTGACCAGAGCGGCAAAAATGACGACCCTATTGGTGACGGTGCGCCCTTTCTCAATCCCACTCCACTCCCCTCCAACCCCTCTCACTCCCCTCCACTCCCCTCCAATCCCCTCCACTCCCATCCACTCCCCTCCACTCCCCTCCACTTCCCTCCACTCCCCTCCACTCCCTTCCTTTCCATGCCTATCGCTTCGCCCTGAATCCTTTTGAGAATTCCTCAAACTGACTTCCCTCCTTCGTTTCTTCACATGCGTTTGAGAGGTTGCTTAGAGATTTTTGAAGAAGCGATATAATCAAGCATGCATGCCTTTCTTTCTCTTCATGCTGCCCTGTGATTGAAGAAGGGTTTTGAGACGTCTCAAAACCCTTCTTCAATCAGAAGCGATATAATCAAGCACGCATGTCTTTCTTTCTCTTCATGCCGCCCTGGGCGTTTCTACCGCCCTCTTCTGTTCCTCTTCTCTCCTCTCAGCACCTCAGTCGCACTCAGCTTATTGTTTCCCATATTTAAGTATTACCATCCCCCCCTTTTAATCAAAATTTGCAAGAATGTCCTTCCCCTCCCCCTCTGCACTTTAACGACGCCGCCCTCCTGCCCCTCCTTCCGCCTCTCCCCCACGTCCCCTTCCCCAAACTCCCCCAGGAGTTCCCGCAGCCAATGACCTCCGCGCCCTGCTCAGGGCCAAGGGGGGGAGCCAGCGGGGGGGAGGGGGGAAGCTGGGGGGAAGACTGGGCGGAAAAGTGCAGGTGGCGGACCTGCGCCACAAGCTGTCTGGGGGGAGCGGGGGAAGTGGGGGGAAGATTAACAGGGGGAGACTAGGCACTGCTGTGGTAAGCAGTGCGGGGATTTTAGCAGCTGAAAGGGGAGCAGGCGGGGGAGGGGGGAAAGGAGGAAGCGGAGGAGCAGCAGCAGGAGGAGGAGTAGGGGGGGTGGTGGTGAGGGGTAGAGGCGCGGTTACAGACCTATCCTCTCTATCCTCTGTATCCTTTAGGAGTGATGAGAGGTCGGTGGTTGGTGGGGACGTGGGCGGGGTAGTGAGGGTGGCAGCTGCTGCTGCTGCTGCTGCAGCAGGAGGAAGGGGAGGGGGGGAACGCCTAGTGAAGCAGCAGCAGCCGCGGCAGCAGCACTATCAGCAGCAGGAGCAGAGGAGGCTGACAGTGGTGGTGGCAAACGATGGGGTTGGGGGAGCAGGGAGCGTCAGGAGGAGAAGCACGGTGGTGGGGGCGGTGGGGGTGGGGGAGGAGAGGGGGGTGGCAGCTATAGATGCTGACGTGGCTATGGAGGGGGAAGATGAGCAGCAGGTGAGAGGCGGCTGGGGAGAAGGTGGGGGAGAAGGTGGGGGAGAAGGTGGGGGGGAAGGTGGGGGGGAACGTGGGGGTTGGGTGGTGGGGGAGGAGAGGAGGGTGACCAGGAGCAGGTGAGAAGCGGCTGGGGAGAAGTCTGGCTGGATTGTGAGTGATGCATGCGCATCCCATGGCGTGACTTGAGTCGTTTTGAGACGTAAACATCACTTTTATCACGTGATGCATGCGCATCCTATGGCGTGACTTGAGTTGACTCGACGAGGTTGTTTTTTAGTCAACTCAAAAGGAGCGGGCTGAAGTTTGAGCAATGCATGCGCATCCCTTGGTTTGTGTCTTTAGTCCTTAGGGGGATTGTAATGTGGGATGTGATGTGATGATGCTGTGCGAATGTGGGATGCTACTACGTGCATTTCCGTTATATATCATTTGTGTTTCTGTAGTTGTTGTCATTGCTGTTCATGGGGCATTCTCACGGATTCTGTTGAATGTGCATTGGTAAATCTGGAATAATTGATGTCGTGTTATATGTGGGTTGCTCTGTATTGCATTTTAGTTTTCTTTTTTAATTTCTACACCTCACTTCAACGTTCCTGCAACCCTCTGCCCATCCGCCCTTTTGCCCCTCTGCTCACCCTCTCAGACAGTGTCATCCTTCCTTGCGGGCCTGGGACTGAGCAAGTATACGGACCTGTTCGCGACCGAAGAGGTGATGTTTCTCCCCTCTCCTCGGCCCATACATGCATCCCGCTCTTGCACATACATTCAACCCCCGCCTTTCCCCCTTTCCTCTTCTTCCCCTCCCCTTCCCTTTTTCCCCCTTCAAAATTGCCAGAAACTAGGCCAGAAATCCAGTAGAAAAAAATATTGAAATCCAAACAGAGTTCAAGCAAGGTATTTAAGCCAAAACCTAAGCCAACATCTAGGCCATAGTTTAGGCCAGAATTCAGGCCAGAATAGAAGCGATAATGTGAAGTAATATCTAAGCCACCACAATATACGCCACATTTAACGCTATAATTTGCGCCTGCTTCTCTATGGCCTCATTTTACGTATGCCAGCCATGCCCTCATAACTTCATGCACACATGCTGACATGCTGACATGCCCACATGCTCGCATACTCACATGCCCACGTGCCCACTTGCTGACATGCTCACATGCTCCCATGCCTGCATGCCCACATGCCTACATGCTCGCATGCTCAAATGCTCACATTCCCACATGCTCACTTGCCCACTTCACCATCTGTTTTGCCTCTTGTTATTTCTATCTGCAGATTTTTTCTTCTTGTTACCTTCTTTTTCCCTCCCCGCTCCATCAGATTGACTTGCAGACTCTTCATCGCATGTCGGAAAATGACTTGAAGGAAATCGGCATCCCTATGGTAAGAATATCGCACTCACATGCATGCCCATGGTTGACTTTTGAGTTGACTCAAAAGTCAACTCCCTTCAGGTTGACTTGCAGACTCTTCATTGCATGTCGGAAAATGACTTGAAGGAGATCGGCATCCCCAGGGTGAGAGCAGAGCATAGACACTCACATCACATGGATGCCCATGGTCAAAGCATGGTAGACATGCATTCCGATGTTGCATTTAAGGGCCCGTGTTGCTTGAATGTTGATGAGCTTTTCCACAAGGCACATTGTCCCCCAGAATTGAACGATTCCTTTTGTGCGCTTATATCATGTTTGTGCCCTCATATTGTTTAGTTGGTGCACCCCCTTGAGTGCTTCCAAGTTCCTTCGGAGAAGCATCCTTTAATACCCTGATTTCAAAAGCATGTGTAATCAAGCTTTTCCCCATGCCAACTTGTATGTTTGCAGGGCCCTCGTAAGAAGATTGTTCAAGCAAATGCGGCTGCTTAGGAAGGAAATTGAAGAAATGAGCTAAATCAATATGCAAAATCCTCATGAGGATGCTATTTTGTAAGTTAGGGGCATCTAATGAGATTCCTTACACCAGTATTTCAACGTTTTGCACTGGTTTGCGTTAGTTTATGACGAGCCGGAACCTCTCCCACTTGGGAAGCTTTGGCCACTTGTTCTTTGGTGTGATCTGCCCGCGATATCTAAATTTCAACTGACGGATCTGGAGGGCTGCTTCTTGCCACACGCGGCTTGACGGAGCAGAAACGGAATTTGGTGGACCACAAGGCAGAGCTAAGCGAAGCAGATTACACACGAGCGAAGCAGATTACACACGAGCGAAGCAGATTACGGGTAGTACACACAAGGAAACTCCACAGTTGGAAGAAAATGTTTCGAAAGTTGGGGGACCGTTTTCACAACTCGGGCAGCTTTCTTTGCCGAATTAGGCTGTTACTGTACTGTAAAAGATCGAGGAGGTCGAGGTCCCACACCTCTCGACCACTTTCACCTCTCCCCTCATTTAGCAGGTGACCCGGGATTAAAACCTAAATATTTAATACCTATCCTAAGAAATGTACATGAAACACTTCAATCACATCACACCACTGCTCGTGGCAGAACTGCCCATCGCAGGTGCTGCCCGCATTAAATTAGGACCAACGAACCACGCAATGACGCTTGAAACCTCAAGGGTAATTACATTCTGGGTAACCAACATTGAGCCCGCTGACGTCAAAAGTCACCTACGTGGCTCGATGGTACCCGTCAGATCATGCGCGCCCCTTGGTGGTACCCATCTTCCCTCCGTGGTACCCATCTTCCCTGCGTGGTACCCATCAACTGTGCGTGAATTCCCTGACTGGTACCGCAACATTTCTACCTAGCTGTACACCGTACAACAAGGGTGTCAATGCGTTTTTCACTATATTATACCAACGTTTTCTGTCTGAAATTGAACATTAATACATTTGAACAGTGCCAGAGGGGTGATCGACCAGGGACCGAGAGGCCCGGAACTTCCCAAACCGCTGCGCATAGAGGGATTAAGATAGGGTCTTCCTTTATTGCACGTAATTATTTTATTAGTGGCATGTACCGGCTCGCGTTTTCGCTCGCGTGTGGTTTAGCGAGCCGACTCTACTGGAAACACTTAGGGCATCCAAAAAAAATTTCAACTCTTATGGAACCTGGATGCATTTTCGGGATGGGTCAACCCTAAAACGGATAACTTCCTGGTATTTCGGGTTCATGCCTCCCGAGTCGCATCTGTTTCCGAATGGGTAATATATTTTTTTTCCAGTGCGTCTACGATCGGGTAGGTGAATATAATATGTTATACGTACTCACGATTTGATCCGCCGAGCTTTACTTCCAAAAGAATGCGACGTGCGCGCTGTAGTAGAGGGAGGTCAAAACCCTCAATAAAAAACATGAATACACAATTTGGTTCTTCTAGCAAATGTCTTTCACTTCCGGCTCGGCTTGTTCGCCAAGTCGGTTGGGCAGCTCTGGGCTGAAATCCTACGGTCGAGATTTACAGGCCCTACTTTGAACACTTCTCTGGCAATGTTCGACTTGAAGGGGTTGAAAGCACACCTCGTAACCCACTCAGTCAAGGGATAACCTTTGATGCACATTCAGCTGAATGTGCACCCCGGTTTTAACCCTGAAAATTCTTCGAGCGTTGCTAACTACCTTCGAAATCGGTTTTTTCGAGGTTAGGTACCCCAGGTCGTGAAGATAAAGGGTGTGGAATTACCGCGGACTAGGTGTAGTCAGGGGACTGAAACGGCCACCAGCCATTTTTTCAATGTCTCGGAACAGAATTGCTCTGATAGCTGCCTCGCTGGCAATAACTCATGATGATTGCGCGAGGGGCATTAATGGTGGCCTCTAAGAACATCGCACCGCGCGATAGGACGCGTATTTTTCGCAGCCAGCCTGGCTGAAGGACATTGGTCCGTCCTTGCTGCCTCCTATTCGCCGTCCAATCTCCGTAGCCATGGCCAGTGGTCGTATCTCATAAATCTCGGCCGCGCGAGTCGCGATAGGATGGCTGGACGGTTCTCAGAGTCGACTCAGAGTCGACGACGCCCGACGGACGCCCGACGGACGCCCGACGACGCCCGACGCGCTCTCCCGAGTCTCGACTCGTATCACATGATTGCCTGACTGACTCTCACTCACCTCACCTCAGCTCAGCTCGCCTCAACGGATGGCCACTCGTGACAGCAGTACTTGAGGAACGAGGGATGGTGGCTGGCTGGGAGAGAGAAGAAAATGTGAGAAATCTGCTATTAGTGCATACAAGCTTCCTTTGTGTCCTCTTGGGAGCCAAAGCGTCTGAGTGGTGATACCGATTTTGCCCGCGTGTGACCCGCCCTCGCAGCGCACATAGCCTCTTGATTTTGCCCCCTCGTCGTCTCGAATGTGGCCCTGGTTCCAGCAATACAGTAATATTCTCAGAAATATTTGGGTCCCTGATAGTAGTAGTGATTCCTCGGTAAATGAGCATCATTCGTCATGTGTCAGCACTCCGCTCTCCGAAATCTCGCCACGTCGCAGCCTTTCGCGCTGACGTGGATGACACCGCCGCCTGTGGCGGCGACGGCGGCGATCGACGGGGTCGCGCCTGCACCGCTTGATAATCGAGAGGGGTCTAGAGATTTCGCGTCAACGGACCGCTGCTTCTCCGCGCCTTTCTGGTCGTCGCCGCAAGAGTGCGTAACTGCTACAACTGGCTGTTGCCGCAATTCGAATCCGGCGCAGCCGCATCGCGTAGTACTACCGTCGCCGTCGTTAGCCGGCGTCGCCGTGGCCCCGCGGACGCCGCTTTCCCCAGCGCCACCGCCGTCGCCGTATCCTTACGGCGCCGCCGCCGCCGCCGCCGCTGCGGCGGCCTCCGCGGCTGCTGAAATGTCGAACGACGTCCCATCACGAAACCCTAACGTCTTTATTCCATCCACAGGCTGCATGATTACTACGGCGGCTGATAGTACTGCTAAGGCCGCCGGCGGGAACGGTCGCGTGGCTGCTCTCAGCCGGCAGAATCTGAGAAATTCAGGCGACCGTTTCATTCTTGGTAAACGCCACGGTGGACCGGAAATTGCTCGCTTCTCGGACCGCGTATCGCCGTTTTTTGCGGGCATTTCCGAGCTGCACGCGCGACAGGAGGGAACATCATTAGACCCGAAACAGACGATCCCTTTTGCACGCCGTCGTCTACCTAAAGCCGCCGCCGCTGTCGCTGTTGATGCCGCTGCTGCGAAATCACCGTCTCTCGCCGCCCACGGTGGCGGCTTTGCTACATCCACGTCAGCGGAAAATGCTCTCCAACCAAGCGGCGCCGGGGCTGTCATTCCCCTAGGAACTACTACTAGTACCACTATTACTACTACTACTGAGGAGCAAAGCACCTGGCGCGGCCCGGTCCTGGAGGCGCGGTACCGACAACGCACGATGGAGGTTGCTAGGGAGACCGATCTGGAACCTCCGGCTATCACGGCGATGCATTGTGCTGCGGCGTCAAATTTCGTGGCGCAGCGATTCTCGCAGCATTTCGCACAGCATTTCGCGGAGCAATTTGCGCAGCAGCAATTCGCGCGGCATTTCGCGGAGCAGCAGTCGGCGAGGGATGAGGAGAACCGGCTCCTCCGCTCCTGCGGTGACGATAGCAGGCTGGCTGATGAGCAGCGGCAAGAGCAGCAGCAGCGGCAGCAGCAGCAACAACATCAGCAACAGCTGCTGCTACTGCTGCAGACCCAGCACAGACAGCAGGCCTTAGTGGCGAGTCAATGCGAAGGGCCTTGGAGGGTAAACGGCTTGGGCGGTGCGAGTTGGCCGGAGGCTGGTGCGCGGCAGAACACGATTGGGGGTGTGGGACAGGAAGAGCACGGCAGAGAGAAGCAGACGTCATTTGAGAAGGTGATTCTGCACTCTGTGCCGTGGTTCCAGGCGGAGCAGCAATGGGAGGCGGAGCATCATGCAGTTGACATGAATGGTACAAGTAGGAAGAGGCTGTGCAGAGAGGAGGAGAAGCTGTCGGCGCTGCTGCTGGCGTCCCACCAGGCCGTGATGCAGCAGCAGAGAGAGCAACTCGAGCTGCAGCAGAGGCAGAAGCTGGTGCTGGATCAAAGCCGAGAGCTGGCATGCTCGCTCGCCTCTCAACCAGAGCCGTGCACTGTTGCAGATCAGTATGTAGCTGCGAGTTTTACTTGTTCAGCAGGAGATGATCCTGCTTTTTTTGGTCCAGGGAAGGCCCCTGGAGCTTATGTAAACGCCGCTTCTTGTAGCGGCACGACCACGACCAGTTTTGAGGGGATGAGCCCTCCTTCCCTTCCGCTATTGGATCTTAACCTTAGCCTTTCGCTGTCGTCCCTGAGCAGTGAAGAGATGCCGGAATCAACTGCTTGTTGACGATGCTTTATACATGAAAATAGTGTTTTGGTAGTACTCGAGTCTGTAGTCAGATAATAATCTAGGGATTTTACTATATTAATTATAAAGCTGGAAGGGGGTATTGGTCATGTAAGCTCAGACCTACAATACTTGCAGGTACTGGTATGAATGCTCTGAAGCACAGACCTATAGCACTACAGCATACATCTTGTGGTGGAGCGCACGTGCTAATGGTTCCCAAATTTGGCCGACGCGCGCGAAGTCCCCACGCGGTAATCGACAGCGGCAGACTCCCGAATGCATCAATCCGAATCTGTCTTCATTTGTCGTTGAAAAGTGACGGCCAGCAGTGCCTCCATCGGCAGAAATTCATCGTCCAGCCAATTGAATTGCACCCGACTCTTGTGGCACGACACTGACAGCAGCGCGAACCAAGGCTGACAAAAGGAACCTGCCCACAACCTCAAAACTGTCGTGCACCAATCGGCGCAGTCATACCACCATCCCCCTCCCCTCGCCTTGGTTACCGCCTCCTCCATACGCAAGCTGTGCGACCGGTCGCATCCCTACCTCACATGCATTTCTCCCACCGAATATTGCTGCCACTCCTCTCTTGCGACAGACAGCCCAACCTTCATTTGTCGCATACCCATCCCCAAGCTATGTTTTGCCTGTCGCAAGCAGCACAAATGTGTGGAGGAATATTCTAGCTTTCGCCTGAGCTTCGCTTCGTCATCAGTCTCAGCTCCAAAAATATAGCCGTTGAACTCGGCACCAAAGATAATCTCGAGGACGTGTTTCCTGGAGAGCAGCCAGGGATCCTGCTGCCAGGATAGGAGCCTATTGTTAGTTCCAACTGATCAAGCAGATCTCCCCTCCTGCCCAGCATAGCGCGCGAACGAGGCCCAGCTTGGGTGCCGGCGAGCATACCAAGCGCTCTTCGTCGAGCCGCCGAGTTCCTGCCCAACCAGGAGTAAGTTGGTTATTTTTATCTATCTATTTATTTACTTCGCGTGCTTGTTTCATCTTTTTTGTTATCCGTGGCCTAGTTGGAAATGAGTTAATATTTACCAATAGAATTTCTTGCTCGGAGGAAGTCCACCTCCAACATTCGCCCGCTTGCTGTACCCTTTTTTGCTTCTTATGTTGTATAAACGCACTTTATCAGCCTTCACTTTTTTCTCGTCGTCCCCTTTCCTCTGGTCCTCACCGTCCTCCGCTTCGCCTCCCCTCGCCTTCCACCGCTCCCTTCCTTTCTCCTCATTCTGCGCCGCTGAACCTCTTCCTACTGTCAGCTCAACCGCCGCAAACAAAATGTCGTCCGCTCCGCCTACCGGCGGCAGCGGCGGCGGCGGTGGCGGCGGCGATCGCGGTGTGCAGCCGATGAGCCTGAAGGAGGTTCAGGAGCGAATTGACCAGCTCTACGGTGACCGGAGCGCGAAGAACCTTCGCGAAGGCATCCGAAAAGGCTTTATTTCCGTCGGAAAGGGTGTCTTCGCCGGCGTCGGCGCGCTCGTCGCGGCGCCTATCGCGGGCGCTGCGCAGGAGGGCGGGATCGGGCTGGTTAAAGGGACCGTGGCGGGGGTGGCTAGTCTCGTCGTGCTGCCTACTATAGGAATAGTACAAGGCGCGCAGCAGTTAGGACAGGGGATTAAGAACATGCCGGACGCGGTTCGGGAGATGATGAAGAAGGATAAGTGCGAGGAGGAGGCGGAAAAAGGGGAGATTCTGGAAGATCCAGACGTGGATAAGCTTAACGAACAGACGTATTCGCACACGCGCGAAACTGTCGAGAAAATCGCGCTCGAAACGGAAACAGAGGAGGCGACTGCCACGTCAGCGGCGAAGGCTGCTGCCGACGAAGCAGCCGCCACGTCAGCCGCGGAAGCGGCGGCCGCGGCGGAGAAGAAGGGGGAGAAGAGGGAGGTTAAGGACGAGGCGCTGTACCTGGTTCTGGAGGTCGCGACGGACGCGTCGTCCGTGGAGATTAAAAAGGCGTACTACAAGGTGCGTGCTGGGGGAGGGGGGAGGAAGGGGCGGTGAGGGGGAGAGGGGAAGCGGAACTGTGGGGGATTGGGGAGGGGAGGGGAGGAGGAGAGGAGGAGAGGAGGGGGAAAGCGGAGGAGACGCTTAGTGGGGGTATTGTGACGTGCATGGGTGGATGATATGGACGGTGCCAGGGTTGCTTTTGAGAATTCTCAAGAGTAACACCAATATATTGGTGACAGACTGGGTTGTTGATCTGGACGCCCCTGCGTGTGTGTGACATGTTCTTCAAAGCAGCACAAACCCTCCCACACTCCCTTCCCACCCAAACCCTCTCCTCAACCTCCTGCCTCCTCACTTATACCGTGTCTGCAGCTAGTGCGTGCATGCCATCCCTCCCTTAACCTCTCTTCCTTCCCCGCCTTTCCACGCACGGTTCCACCCCTATCTCGTCCCCTTTTCCTCTATCCCCTCTCTGCAGCTAGCGCGCACGTGCCATCCGGATAAAAACCCCGGCGACGAGAGCGCCAAGGCCAAGTTTCAGGCGGTGGGCGAGGCCTATCAAGTCCTCATGGACCCCGCCAAGCGCGAGCAGTACGACCGCTAACCTAGTGCATACGTGCCATCCCTTCCTTGACCTCCTTTCCCTCTCCACCACTCCGCGCGTGCCACCACCCCTATCTCGTCCCCCTTTCCTCAATCCCCCCTCCGCAGCTAGCGCGCACGTGCCATCCCGACAAGAACCCCGGGGATGAAACCGCCAAGGCCAAGTTCCAAGCTGTCGGTGAAGCCTACCAAGTCCTCATGGACCCCGCCAAGCGCGAGCAGTACGACCGCTTCGGCCGCGCCGCGCTCGAAGACACCTTCATGGACCCCGGGTCCTTCTTCACCATGGCGTTCGGTGCAGAGCGGTTCAAACCGCTTGTGGGGGAGTTGACAGTGGCGTACACGGCGGCGGGGAATCTGACGGTGGAGGAGGTGAAGCGGTGGCAGGCGCGGCGGGAGAGGGAGCTGGCGGACGGGCTGCTGAAGCGGCTGGGGCTGTGGTTGAGAGGGGATGAGGAGGGGTTTGTGAGAGAGGCTGTGAAGCAGGTGGACGAGCTCAAGGGCGAGGCTTTCGGGGTCGCCTTCTTGCACTGTATCGGGTATGCGGTGTGGTGGGAATGTTGTCATCTGGTGTTTGTAGGGTTGTGGCTGGCGGGGGATGAGGAGGGGTTTGTGCGGGAGGCTGTGAAGCAGGTGGACGAACTCAAAGGGGAGGCGTTTGGGGTCGCCTTCCTGCACTGCATTGGGTACGTGGGGTGGTGGAACTTTTGTTATTTGGTGTTTGTGTGGTTGTGGTTGAAGGGTGATGAGGAGGGGTTTGTGCGGGAGGCTGTGAAGCAGGTGGATGAGCTCAAAGGGGAGGCGTTTGGGATCGCCTTCCTGCACTGCATCGGGTAGGTGGTGGTTCTGGAACTGTGTCAGGTATGTGGTGCTTTGGGGACTGGGGGGAATCTGACGGTGGAGGAGGTGAAGCGGTGGCAGGCGCGGCGAGAGAGGGAGCTCGCTGACGGGTTGCTGAAGCGGCTGGAGCTGTGGTTAAAGGGGGGGGTTTGTGAGGGAGGCTGTGAAGCAGGTGGACGAGCTCAAGGGGGAGGCGTTTGGCGTAGCGTTCTTGCACTGTATCGGGTACGTGGATTTGATGGGTATCGGGTATGCGAGGTTATGAGCCTGTTGCGGTTTGTGGTGTTTGGCCGCCAGGCGCGGAGAGAGAGGGAGCTGGCGGACGGGCTGTTGAAGCGGCTGGAGCTGTGGTTAAAGGGGGATGAGGAGGGGTTTGTGAGGGAGGCTGTGAAGCAGGTGGACGAGTTGAAGGGGGAGGCCTTTGGGGTCGCCTTCCTGCACTGCATCGGGTATGTGGAGGGCATTGGCAGTGTATCGGGTATGTAGTGTACTGGCACTGTATCGGACGCTTTTGGGGCTCAAAGAGATACTCTCCTCACGCTTTTCTCTCCTCTCTCCCCCAACCCCTCCACCCTCCTCCCCCCTCAAAATCGGCTACACGTACTATTCGCGCGCGCAGGTGCGCTGGGGCTACAGAGATGCTCGGCATCCCGGGCTTGGTGGTGTGAACGCACACTCGTTGCCCTCATTTTGAACGTGTTCTTCCTTTCCATGTTCTCTATCCCCTCCCCTCTCCCGGCCTCCAAAACAGCTACACGTACTACTCGCGAGCGCAGGTGCTGCTGGGCCTCACAGAACTGCTCGGCATCCCGGGTTTCATGAGAGCACCCTCTGTCCCTATCTAATGTGCTCTTCCTTTCCATCTCTCCCCATCTCCTCCCCCACCGCCCCACCCCCATCAACAGCTACACGTACTACTCGCGCGCGCAGGTGCTGCTAGGCCTCACCGAGCTGCTCGGCATCCCGGGATTTGTGAACGCAATCAAGGAGTCGGGGCACACCCTCCGCCCTTCCTTTTAACCTGTTCTTCCTTTCCCTGCTCCCTATCCGCTCCCCCACCCTCCCATCAGCTACACGTACTACTCGCGGGCGCAGGTGCTACTAGGCCTCACAGAGTTGCTCGGCATCCCGGGATTTGTGAACGCAGTGAAGGAGTCGGGGCACACCATGAAGACCCGGTACAACGCTGTTGACGCGGCACTCAAGTAAGTATTGAGCTTCAGAGTCGGGCTCCTTGAAGTAGGGAGTCGGGGCACACTTAGTAAGTCTTTCCACTTGGAGTCGCCGCTTATGAGTCGGGGCACACTTAAGTAGGTCATTTCCCTCAAGGATTCGCCTCTTATGAGGAGTCGGGGCCACCATGAAGACTCGCTACAACGCTGTTGACGCGGCACACCAGTAGTGAGTACTAATTTTGGGGGCTACGAGTATGACTTTTACAGTGGGAGTCGGGAACACCATGTATATTTAGTATACCGCTATCAATGTGGCACTCAACTCAGGGCACACCGCACCCAAGTAAACCAGGGATACATGGATCATTTGCAGCTGTTAGATTAGAATCAGTCCGTGACCCAAACTCTCCTACCCCTTCCACTCACCCCACAGGCTATCGGAAATGAAGGTCAGCATGGACCCTCAGAAGCCAGCCAGCGAGCACCAGTAACACTTCCGCGCGATTGCTCTTCCTCCAATCCCACTCCTCTCTCCTCTCTCCTCTCTACTATTTCTCCTGCCCATACGCAAACCACCCCTCAGGCTATCGGAAATGAAGGTCAGCATGGACCCTCAGAAGCCAGCCAGCAAGGAGGAGCACCATTAATGGTTCCGCGTGATTACTCTTCCTCTAATTCCACTCATGTTTCTCCTGCCCTTGCCCAAATCACTCACAGGCTATCGGAAATGAAGGTCAGCATGGACCCTCAGAAGCCAGCCAGCAAGGAGGAGCACCATTAATGGTTCCGCGTGATTACTCTTCCTCTAATTCCACTCATGTTTCTCCTGCCCTTGCCCAAATCACTCACAGGCTATCGGAAATGAAGGTCAGCATGGACCCTCAGAAGCCAGCCAGCAAGGAGGAGCACCATTAATGGTTCCGCGTGATTACTCTTCCTCTAATTCCACTCATGTTTCTCCTGCCCTTGCCCAAATCACTCACAGGCTATCGGAAATGAAGGTCAGCATGGACCCTCAGAAGCCAGCCAGCAAGGAGGAGCACCATTAATGGTTCCGCGTGATTACTCTTCCTCTAATTCCACTCATGTTTCTCCTGCCCTTGCCCAAATCACTCACAGGCTATCGGAAATGAAGGTCAGCATGGACCCTCAGAAGCCAGCCAGCAAGGAGGAGCACCATTAATGGTTCCGCGTGATTACTCTTCCTCTAATTCCACTCATGTTTCTCCTGCCCTTGCCCAAATCACTCACAGGCTATCGGAAATGAAGGTCAGCATGGACCCTCAGAAGCCAGCCAGCAAGGAGGAGCACCATTAATGGTTCCGCGTGATTACTCTTCCTCTAATTCCACTCATGTTTCTCCTGCCCTTGCCCAAATCACTCACAGGCTATCGGAAATGAAGGTCAGCATGGACCCTCAGAAGCCAGCCAGCAAGGAGGAGCACCATTAATGGTTCCGCGTGATTACTCTTCCTCTAATTCCACTCATGTTTCTCCTGCCCTTGCCCAAATCACTCACAGGCTATCGGAAATGAAGGTCAGCATGGACCCTCAGAAGCCAGCCAGCAAGGAGGAGCACCATTAATGGTTCCGCGTGATTACTCTTCCTCTAATTCCACTCATGTTTCTCCTGCCCTTGCCCAAATCACTCACAGGCTATCGGAAATGAAGGTCAGCATGGACCCTCAGAAGCCAGCCAGCAAGGAGGAGCACCATTAATGGTTCCGCGTGATTACTCTTCCTCTAATTCCACTCATGTTTCTCCTGCCCTTGCCCAAATCACTCACAGGCTATCGGAAATGAAGGTCAGCATGGACCCTCAGAAGCCAGCCAGCAAGGAGGAGCACCATTAATGGTTCCGCGTGATTACTCTTCCTCTAATTCCACTCATGTTTCTCCTGCCCTTGCCCAAATCACTCACAGGCTATCGGAAATGAAGGTCAGCATGGACCCTCAGAAGCCAGCCAGCAAGGAGGAGCACCATTAATGGTTCCGCGTGATTACTCTTCCTCTAATTCCACTCATGTTTCTCCTGCCCTTGCCCAAATCACTCACAGGCTATCGGAAATGAAGGTCAGCATGGACCCTCAGAAGCCAGCCAGCAAGGAGGAGCACCATTAATGGTTCCGCGTGATTACTCTTCCTCTAATTCCACTCATGTTTCTCCTGCCCTTGCCCAAATCACTCACAGGCTATCGGAAATGAAGGTCAGCATGGACCCTCAGAAGCCAGCCAGCAAGGAGGAGCACCATTAATGGTTCCGCGTGATTACTCTTCCTCTAATTCCACTCATGTTTCTCCTGCCCTTGCCCAAATCACTCACAGGCTATCGGAAATGAAGGTCAGCATGGACCCTCAGAAGCCAGCCAGCAAGGAGGAGCACCATTAATGGTTCCGCGTGATTACTCTTCCTCTAATTCCACTCATGTTTCTCCTGCCCTTGCCCAAATCACTCACAGGCTATCGGAAATGAAGGTCAGCATGGACCCTCAGAAGCCAGCCAGCAAGGAGGAGCACCATTAATGGTTCCGCGTGATTACTCTTCCTCTAATTCCACTCATGTTTCTCCTGCCCTTGCCCAAATCACTCACAGGCTATCGGAAATGAAGGTCAGCATGGACCCTCAGAAGCCAGCCAGCAAGGAGGAGCACCATTAATGGTTCCGCGTGATTACTCTTCCTCTAATTCCACTCATGTTTCTCCTGCCCTTGCCCAAATCACTCACAGGCTATCGGAAATGAAGGTCAGCATGGACCCTCAGAAGCCAGCCAGCAAGGAGGAGCACCATTAATGGTTCCGCGTGATTACTCTTCCTCTAATTCCACTCATGTTTCTCCTGCCCTTGCCCAAATCACTCACAGGCTATCGGAAATGAAGGTCAGCATGGACCCTCAGAAGCCAGCCAGCAAGGAGGAGCACCATTAATGGTTCCGCGTGATTACTCTTCCTCTAATTCCACTCATGTTTCTCCTGCCCTTGCCCAAATCACTCACAGGCTATCGGAAATGAAGGTCAGCATGGACCCTCAGAAGCCAGCCAGCAAGGAGGAGCACCATTAATGGTTCCGCGTGATTACTCTTCCTCTAATTCCACTCATGTTTCTCCTGCCCTTGCCCAAATCACTCACAGGCTATCGGAAATGAAGGTCAGCATGGACCCTCAGAAGCCAGCCAGCAAGGAGGAGCACCATTAATGGTTCCGCGTGATTACTCTTCCTCTAATTCCACTCATGTTTCTCCTGCCCTTGCCCAAATCACTCACAGGCTATCGGAAATGAAGGTCAGCATGGACCCTCAGAAGCCAGCCAGCAAGGAGGAGCACCATTAATGGTTCCGCGTGATTACTCTTCCTCTAATTCCACTCATGTTTCTCCTGCCCTTGCCCAAATCACTCACAGGCTATCGGAAATGAAGGTCAGCATGGACCCTCAGAAGCCAGCCAGCAAGGAGGAGCACCATTAATGGTTCCGCGTGATTACTCTTCCTCTAATTCCACTCATGTTTCTCCTGCCCTTGCCCAAATCACTCACAGGCTATCGGAAATGAAGGTCAGCATGGACCCTCAGAAGCCAGCCAGCAAGGAGGAGCACCATTAATGGTTCCGCGTGATTACTCTTCCTCTAATTCCACTCATGTTTCTCCTGCCCTTGCCCAAATCACTCACAGGCTATCGGAAATGAAGGTCAGCATGGACCCTCAGAAGCCAGCCAGCAAGGAGGAGCACCATTAATGGTTCCGCGTGATTACTCTTCCTCTAATTCCACTCATGTTTCTCCTGCCCTTGCCCAAATCACTCACAGGCTATCGGAAATGAAGGTCAGCATGGACCCTCAGAAGCCAGCCAGCAAGGAGGAGCACCATTAATGGTTCCGCGTGATTACTCTTCCTCTAATTCCACTCATGTTTCTCCTGCCCTTGCCCAAATCACTCACAGGCTATCGGAAATGAAGGTCAGCATGGACCCTCAGAAGCCAGCCAGCAAGGAGGAGCACCATTAATGGTTCCGCGTGATTACTCTTCCTCTAATTCCACTCATGTTTCTCCTGCCCTTGCCCAAATCACTCACAGGCTATCGGAAATGAAGGTCAGCATGGACCCTCAGAAGCCAGCCAGCAAGGAGGAGCACCATTAATGGTTCCGCGTGATTACTCTTCCTCTAATTCCACTCATGTTTCTCCTGCCCTTGCCCAAATCACTCACAGGCTATCGGAAATGAAGGTCAGCATGGACCCTCAGAAGCCAGCCAGCAAGGAGGAGCACCATTAATGGTTCCGCGTGATTACTCTTCCTCTAATTCCACTCATGTTTCTCCTGCCCTTGCCCAAATCACTCACAGGCTATCGGAAATGAAGGTCAGCATGGACCCTCAGAAGCCAGCCAGCAAGGAGGAGCACCATTAATGGTTCCGCGTGATTACTCTTCCTCTAATTCCACTCATGTTTCTCCTGCCCTTGCCCAAATCACTCACAGGCTATCGGAAATGAAGGTCAGCATGGACCCTCAGAAGCCAGCCAGCAAGGAGGAGCACCATTAATGGTTCCGCGTGATTACTCTTCCTCTAATTCCACTCATGTTTCTCCTGCCCTTGCCCAAATCACTCACAGGCTATCGGAAATGAAGGTCAGCATGGACCCTCAGAAGCCAGCCAGCAAGGAGGAGCACCATTAATGGTTCCGCGTGATTACTCTTCCTCTAATTCCACTCATGTTTCTCCTGCCCTTGCCCAAATCACTCACAGGCTATCGGAAATGAAGGTCAGCATGGACCCTCAGAAGCCAGCCAGCAAGGAGGAGCACCATTAATGGTTCCGCGTGATTACTCTTCCTCTAATTCCACTCATGTTTCTCCTGCCCTTGCCCAAATCACTCACAGGCTATCGGAAATGAAGGTCAGCATGGACCCTCAGAAGCCAGCCAGCAAGGAGGAGCACCATTAATGGTTCCGCGTGATTACTCTTCCTCTAATTCCACTCATGTTTCTCCTGCCCTTGCCCAAATCACTCACAGGCTATCGGAAATGAAGGTCAGCATGGACCCTCAGAAGCCAGCCAGCAAGGAGGAGCACCATTAATGGTTCCGCGTGATTACTCTTCCTCTAATTCCACTCATGTTTCTCCTGCCCTTGCCCAAATCACTCACAGGCTATCGGAAATGAAGGTCAGCATGGACCCTCAGAAGCCAGCCAGCGAGCAGCCCAACATGCCCGAGTTCCTCAACTCCGTCTGGATGGTGAGTCTCAAAATATATTATCTAAGTGTCTGTAAATATGTATATGTACAAAAATACTGCATTTTCCTGTTCTTAAGGAGCCCGCCACTGAGCAGCCCAATATGCCAGAGTTCCTCAACTGGAGGTCAGTGCTTTTCTTTCCTTCTTTCTTTCTTTTCTCATTCGGATGTTGTGAGTTTCTGCTCGTTGGGATATTTCAGAGAAAAAAAAAGGTCTTTTCAAAATAAATAAATATGTATATATTTATATATATATGACAATGTTTCAGTACAAAGTGCTATCTTCCCCTTTCTCCCACTCATCTTTCTTTTATCCTTTCAGATAAGCGTGCTGGACATAGAGAGTACACTGCGGCATGTGGTGGAGCTTGTAGTGAAAGACAAGACGGCTGCTAAGGAGGAGAGAAAGAAGAGGGCCAGCGGCATCATGAGACTGGGGAAGATTTTCCAAGGGGTGTGAGAGGAAGGGGGTGTGAGAAAAATCGTTCGAAAGGCCGTGAGATGAATGACGCGGTTTATTCACGGTGGTTCTCCACCAGTCCACCGCATCAATAAGTGGCCTCACCCAACCCATTTGAGCGGTCACAGACATGCTTGCTGGTTAGGTTCCTTCCTGGAACCATCCTACGAGCTCAGGGCACGAGAGCAGCTGCTAGAGGCTGCTGGGCTGCCTAAGAACCAGAGAGGAGAGGGGGGTGGAGAGGGGGGCTGCGGCGGGGGAGCACTTTTGAGGCGCCTCTTGAGGCGACTTTTGAGGCGCCTCAAAAGTCGTCCCAGCTGCTAGAGGCTGCTGGGCTGCCTAAGAACCAGAGAGGAGAGGGGGGTGGAGAGAGGGGCCTGCGCGGCTGCACCTGGGAGCGTGCAGAACAGAGCTGTGCTATGTGTTAAGGTGCCACAAAAGGGTGGCTGCGCTGCGTGACCTGAGAGAGGAGAGAGGAGAAAGTGGTGGAGAGAGGGGGCCTGCAGCGTGGGAGCATGCAGAGCAGGGCTAAGTTAGGGTGCCTCACAGGTCAACGAGAGGGTGGCTCTGTTCGTACCCAAGAGCCTGAGAAGGGCAGGCGGTCATGGCGCTGAGCGCATGTAGTGCAGTGGAGTGCAGTGCTAGGATTACAGTTGAGGTGCCTTGGAAATTTCCCAGAAGGTCCTGCGATTGTTACATATCATTCCAGACTCGAATTGCCATGCTTCCAATTCTTTGGTCTTAAGGCCGCTTAGGAATGTTGCGGTTGCTCTAATAATTTAGTACAGCTTGCTTGGGCCGGAGGTGTACTGCCATGGCTACATTCATACTGTACGACCGTAAAAGGAATTAGATAACAAGCTTCGCTTGCATAAAATGCATGTCAGTACTGGTACCCTACATACAGTAGTACCGTACCCTTTTGTCAATCATGCCCACTCTATTCAACCACTAACATCAGCTCTTGACCACTTTTTAACATTCTTGACCATTCTTGCCTGCTCTTTGCCGTCAGTGAGCGTCCTCGTCTTCCCCTGGGCACAGGCTGGCAAGAGCCTCTTCGCTTTCATACTGCAACCAAGAGCAGAGGGGTGGGGGGGAGGAGAAGGGAGGAGGCAGTTTTGAGGCGCCTCAAAACTAGACTTCCCCTGGGCACATGCTTGCAAGGGCCTCTTCGCTTTCATACTGCAACCAGGAGCAGAGCGGTGGGAGTGTGGGGGAGAAAGGGTGAAGGGGAAGGGAGTGAGTTTACTTAAAGCCTCTTCTTCAATGTGCCTCCTCGTCTTCCCCTAGGCACAGGCTGGCAAGGGCCTTTTCACTTTCGTACTGCAACCAAGAGCAGAGGGGTGGGGGAGAGGAGGGAGGAGGCGGGAGGTGGGGGGAGTAGGGAGGGACGGGGAAGGGGAGAGGGAGGGAACTTAACTTGTCCATATTGTTATGATGCAAGTCTGCGCAGTCGCATCAAATTCTAATAACTTGCATGCAAACCACATGATGCTGGTTGGGGCGGGCAAAACAACACGATGATAGTTTATCGGGTGGGTGAAACAACACGATGCAACGAGCAACATGAGCAATCCTGATTGCAGATTAGAACCCTAACCCCTGAATTCACCTGACAGCAACAGAGAACACACCTGGCAGCAACAGAGTTCCCACCTGACAGCCGCAGTGTATGCAGTAGAAATGCCTCTGTCGCAGCCGATGCAGAGCTAGTAGGAGAAGCTGCGAGGGATGGCAGGGAGGGAGGAGAGCAGGAGGTGAGGTGGCAAGGAGGAGGTGGCAAGGAGGAGGTGGCAAGGAGGTGAGGTGGCAAGGAGGTGAGGTGGCAAGGAGGAGGTGGCAAGGAGGAGGTGGCAAGGAGGTGAGGTGGCAAGGAGGTGAGGTGGCAAGGAGGTGAGGTGGCAAGGAGGTGAGGTGGCAAGAAGAAGGAAGGATGGGCATTAAGTCACATCAAAGGGTACACAGTAGAAATGCTTCTGTCTCAAACGTTGCAGTGCGAGCAGGGGAAGCTGCGAGCGATGGCGTTTTGAGACATGATAAGAAAATGTTTTTGAGACGTCTCAAAACTTCTGCCGCCGATGATGCAATACGAGCAGGAGAAGCTGTGAGGGACGTCAGAGAGGAGGGGGGCAGAGGGTTGAGGGGGAGGGCGGGACACAGATGGACCCTTATAATTTGAATGTGAGCCACTTTTGAAGTTACACGTGCATAATCAGCTCTGAGAGATTTTAAGAAACTGTCACAACTGGGCGCGAGTGCAGAGCCACTTTTCAGGTCTCTCATTACTGTCACACAATGACCCACCCACCTCTTCAGAAGAGATATCCTCCAGAGACACCTACCCCGCCTTTGATGCCTTTTGTCACACAACAACGCCCACCTCTTCAGAAACGATGTCTTCTAGAAACACCTCTCCCTCCTCGCCATTCCCCTCCTCCCCTCCCCCTCCTCCTCCTTCCACCTCTTTCGCATCTCCCCTTCTCTCCTCCACCTCCTCCCACTCCTCATCACTCACACCATCAGCATCACACTCCATGACTATCCGTTTCTTCCTCACTCTCCTCCTCCTGCCCCATCCCCTCTCCGCACCAGCCCCTCTCTCCATACCACCAGCACCACCACACATAGCACCACCACCACCACCACCCCTGCCACGACCAGCATCACCAGCCCGATCCAACTGAGCACCACCAGAAGCAGCAGCAGCAGCAGCAGCAGCAGCAGCAGAAGCACCAGAGGAGGAGGAAGAAGCAGCGCCAATCCGCACAGCCTGGGCTTTAAGCCACTCCTCTCCCCCTTCCAGGTGCACCAGGGCCGTTCTCGCCTTCCTCAACGCCCCCCTCACCTTCCACTCGCTCCACCTGCCCTTCCGCCGCTCCTCAAACTCCCCTCTCAGCGCCCCTTCGCCTCTCCGCCTCACCCGCGCTGCTGCCTCTGCGCGCAGCAGCTTCTGCCTCTCCGCCTCCGCCTCCTCCTCCTCTTTCCCCAGCCCTTTCCTGTCCCGTTTTAAGCTCAACGCAACGGGTTCGACCCACACGAGGGGTTTTCTTCGGTTGGGCGTGGATGCAAGCACTGACCCCGCTCGGTTGTCCTCGATAATAGCTTCCTCTGTACGCTCTGCAGGTCCATCGCCACCGCCGTCACGGCATCCATTGACGCGGGCTTTGGATGACCAGCCGCCAGGTTCTGTACCAAACGCTCTCCCCCTCATTCTTGCCGCTTGATCCCTCAAACACTCCACTTCTCCCCTCTCCCCACGTTCCTGTCTCTCCGTTGTCCCCACACTCTCCTCCCCCCCTCTCGCGCTTTCCCCCCTCTCCCGCTCGACTGTTCCTCCCCCAGTTTCCGCCAACTCCACCTTCCCCGCGCTCGAAAACCCCGCGCTTCCGCTCATCTGCATCGCCGCCCCAGGAGGTCCCTTAAAACCCATTTTCTGCAGCAGTTTAAAGCCGATGTTAGAAGGCGGTATGGGCGCCGCGAGGCCTTCCGCGAGAACCGCCGCTTCGGCCTTGTCCTTCTCCTCGCGTACCTGCTGCCGCCGCTCCTGCCACGTCAGCTTCTTCCAATCGTCTGGCCGCTGACGTGGCGCAGGATTGTGCGTTTTATTCTTCCGTTGCTGTTGCTGATTGCGAAGGTTCGACGAATCTTCTGGCGGCAAGAAGGCCGAAAGATCGCCCATATAATCGTTCCCGTCATCATCGCCGCCAGGGACTGCTGCCGCCATGGATCTATGTACGCGATATAGAGCGGATCTTACTAACAAGCAAAATCGTATACTACTTCTAAATCGAGTCGCTAGTCGCCCGGTTGTTCCGTCCTGGATCACAACGACGCACTTCTGATTGGATCATTATCTGTCTGGCTTCTCTACAAGCGTAGCCGAAATCTGTTGCTGTTTCACAATTTACAAGGTCGGAGATAAACAGGATCATGGTGGAAAGGAAGGAAACGACTGCCTGCGACACTGAACCGAAGTGCATTTGAGCGGCTCAAACATCTGCAATTCAAAGCCCACGTCGTACTTCAGTGCAAACAATTTATCTACTGATAAGCTCTCTTAGACGGTTTTATTCGTCCTTCGGGACATCCGTTAAAATTGGAACGATACAGAGAAGATTAGCATGGCCCCTGCGCAAGGATGACACGCACAAATCGAGAAATGGTCCAAATTTTTTTGGCGATCTTACGCAGAGCTTCGACCAATCACAGGACACCTTCCTCCCCCACTCATTTCCTTCCCACCCTGCATGCCTTGGGAATCCCGAGGAAATTGAGAATTCAGCAGCAGGAATTCAAGTTTCTGCCGTTCCATGCATGTGCTATTTTTGCCTACTGGACTCTTGCTAGCCTTTCTTGAGCACACGCCCAGTTCCTCTCGCGTACACTAGTCCTCCCACCTAGTTCCCAGCCTTGCTTCTGCCACATTCGCACGACTTCTCTATGTCCGCTGCGCTGGTTCCCAGTTCTTTATTCAGCCGCTCTGCCATTTCCTCCTTCTCAAGGAGCAGTAGGCTGGTCGGCAGTATCGTCCGCTCATCCCGCTGTTTCTTCCTCACACCTTGCATCAGACGCTCTTCTATTCCATTCCCTGGTCGACGCGGCTCGGAACCTCCCTTTTCCGCTGCTCGCCGGCCATTTTCAAATCCCACCACCGTCGCCATGTATCAGAATCCGAATCAATTCGCGAATCCGAACCCACCCAACTCGTTTCGACAGAATCAGGATCTTCCAGAGTTCCCCAACCCGTTCGACAATGCCGGCGATTTCGAGCTCGGCTTTCCCGTGCGGAGCCTCAAAGAGCTGTTGCTGTGTCGCGTCATGGGTCAGATTCGGGAGAAGCCAGATTGGATACGGAAGGTGACGGACGACGAAATCGTCAAGAAATGGAAGGCGGAGTTGACGGAGCCGGCAGCGGACGTCCATCCTGACGGTTCCATCGACGCCAGTAAGGAGTACTGGAGTGCGGAGGAAGCTTCCGCCGTGCTTTCGTTCCTGAGGGAGACCACAACGCGGCCCGTCAAGGTGATCCGCGCCAGACGTGAGTGAACCCTCCGTCTCCCCCAAGAACCGTTTTATTTGTTTGTTTTTTCGGCCTCCATTTTCTCCCTTTCTTTTTGCATAAAGATATCAGTTCTCCAGCCTAGAATCGTCGCTCTCTTACCGCATCTTCCAAGCTTGTCCACCCTCCATTTCCGCCTCTCTGTCTCTCCAGCCTTTAATCTCTGCATTGCCCTTCTTCTTACCACTCTCCCTATCTTTTTCCCTCTCCTTGTCTCTCCCGTCCCCCTCCCAGATCGACCCTGCTCTCTTCACCTACGCCATCGCCGAGCTCCGCTGGCTCGCCTCATCCTTTTCCTCCCCTCCCTCCTCTTCTCCCTCCGCTCCTCCCTCCTCCAATCTCTCCGCACCACTCTCCTCTCTCTCCCTCCACGGCAATCCCAAGGTCCTCCCCTCCGCAGTAGAGGGCGTGTACATCTCCCCAGACCCCCCACTCAATCCCTCACTCAAACAACTCTTTCTAGACGGAATTACCCGGCTAGAATCAGTTCCTGAGGATCAAATCGACTACCACCCGGGATCAAATAACCAAGTAGTCGATCTCATTCACCCCAGCCTGCATTGCCTGGTCTTTGGTCGCACTAGAGTTATCCAGGATCCGCCCAACGACCTTCAGATTCTGCCCTGGGATGAGCTGGTTAGCAGCTTAGGGGAAGTCGCTCGGCCTATGCCGCCCGGCCAGCCGACCCGACCGGTGTTTTACCCAACCGGGAACCATTCATACATTTCAGAAAAGTTTCAGTGGCTGCCCGCGGAGGTGGATGTTGCTGCGGACGGGCAGAGTGCAAAGTTTCGGTCGTATATAAATAACCTGCACCCGCATGAGTTTGCGGAGATGTATCGGGGCTTGGAGCATGTTTTCGCCACTGCATTTGTGCCGTTGTTTAACAAAGTGCTGACGGAAGCGGTTCAGCAGCGACGAGAGCGATTCGACTACGATATTTACGGGTAAGCTCATTAAGTTAATGTGGAGGTGTTGTTTCTTTCTTTGCTGTTAGCGATGGAACGTGCACGTTGCCATAGTGGTGTATTGTTTTTGGACTGTCAAAACTGTTGTTTTTGTGCGTCAATGTTTGTTTTATCCCCGATGCACTATTTCACTGTACGTCTACACCTAGTAGATTGCCACCCGCCTGGTGGTACGACAAGTGGAAGGGCGAGAGGGAGAATGACAAGCAAGACTCCATGTTTCCATTGCACCTCTGTACGACCCCGTCTTTCTCCCACATATCGCCACACTGCAGGTGGTACGACGAGTGGAAGGGCGAGAGAGAGTATGACAAGGAGGATGATGACGACTACCACCAGTGGCTGGTGGACCTGCAGCCCAAGCCCTGCTCCAAGTCTCCCTGTTTCCATTGCGCCTTGATACGATACCTTCTGTCTCCTGTTCTCCCTCCCACCCACCAGGTGGTACGACGAGTGGAAGGGCGAGAGAGAATACGACAGGGAGGATGATGACGACTACCACCAGTGGCTGGTGGACCGGCAGCCCAAGCAGTGCTGTTCAAGGCTCCATCCCATGTTTCCTTTGTGCCTCTATATGATCCCTCCTCCCTCCCACCTATCACCGCACTTCAGATGGTACGACGAGTGGAAGGGCGAGAGGGAATACGACAGGGAGGATGATGACGACTACCACCAGTGGCTGGTGGACCGGCAGTGCAAGCCGTGCCCTCCAAGGCTTCCTGTTCCCACTGTGCCTCTGTCCATTACCGTCTGTTTCCCTCTCCTGTACCAGGTGGTACGATGAGTGGAAGGGCGAGAGAGAATACGACAAAGACGACGATGACGACTACCACCAGTGGCTGGTCGACCGGCAGCCCAAGCCCTGATTCCAGGCTCCATGTTCCCATCTTTAAACTGTGCCTCTACCCACCTACCAGGTGGTACGATGAGTGGAAGGGCGAGAGGGAATACGACAAGGACGACGACGACGACTACCACCAGTGGCTGGTGGACCGGCAACCCAAGCCGTGCCCTCCAAGGCTTCCTGTTCCCACTGTGCCTCTGTCCATTACCGTCTGTTTCCCTCTCCTATACCAGGTGGTACGACGAGTGGAAGGGCGAGAGAGAATATGACAAGGAGGACGACGACGACTACCACCAGTGGCTGGTGGACCGGCAGCCCAAGCAGTGCTGTTCAAGGCTCCATCCCATGGTTCCATTGTGCCTCTATATGATCCCTCCTCCCTCCCATCTATCACCGCACTTCAGATGGTACGACGAGTGGAAGGGCGAGAGGGAATACGACAAAGACGACGATGGCGACGACTACCACCAGTGGCTGGTGGACCGGCAGTGCAAGCCCTGCCTGCTCCCAACCTCCATTCCATGTTTCCATGTTGCAATCGTGCCTCTACTCTCCCACCAGGTGGTACGATGAGTGGAAGGGTGAGAGAGAATACGACAAGGACGACGACGACGACTACCACCAGTGGCTGGTGGACCGGCAGCCCAAGCAGCCAGACACCCCTGCAGAGTTCTCCCCCCCACAGCCTCCCTCCCCCGGGCACGTGGTGGATCTGAAAGGGCGGCGACTGCAGGTGGTGGTGAAGGTGGCGAGCATTCAGCTGACCCCTGACAGCCCGAAGTATCCTGGGGGTACTTGGCATGTGGAGGGCATGAGGAACGAACACATTGTGGTGAGTGAAGTGATAGAGGGTGTGAGGGATGGGAAGGTGTGGGTGGTGGATGTGAAGGGGTGGGTGGTGGAGGTGAGGGGGCGACTGCTGCAGGTGGTGGTGAAGGTGGCGAGCATGCAACTCACCCCTGAAAGCCCGAGATAACCTGGGGGTACTTGGCATGTGGAGGGCATGAGGAATGAGCATATTGTGGTGAGTGGATACGAGGCGGTAAGTGAGGGGAAGGGAGGGGGTTGGATGGGAGGAGAGGGGAGGGGAGGGGAGGGGAGGGTTGTGTATAGATGTACCAATAGGAATATATTGGACCGATTTCCACTGATATTGTTTTTCCCCCATATCCCTCTCTCAGACCACACCCTCCCTTCCCTCCCCTTTTCCCATTCTCGTCCCCTTTTTCCCCTTCCGCTGGTCTCCGTTCCCCCACCCTATCCCGTTTTCCCTCCCCATTCCCCTTCCCCCAGGCCACGTGCATATACTACTTTGACTCTCACAACCTCACGGAGTCGCACTCTCAGTTCAGGATCACTTTTTCCGAACCAGACTATGATCAGAACGACACCAAAAGCATGCCATAACACCTCTATATCCTCCCGTCCACTCCCATTTTTCCCTTCCCCTTCTCCTTTCCCCCTTCCCGTCCCCATTTCCCCCCTCCCATCCCGTTTTCCCTCCTCGTTTCCCCCTCCCTATCCCGTTCTCCCTCCCGTTTTCCCGTTCCCCAGGCCACGGGAATTTATTACTTCAACTCTCACAGCATCACCAAGTCGCGCCTTCAGTTTAGAATCACCGTTCCCGAACCAGACTACGATCAGAACGACAACAAAGCATGCCACAACACCTCTATATCCTCCCCTCCACTCCCATTTTTCCCTTCCCCTTCCCTTCCCCATCTTCCGTCCCCCAGGCCACAGGCATTTACTATTTCGACTCTCACAACATCACCGAGTCGCGCCTTCAATTCAGGATCACCGTTGCCGAACCAGACTATGATCAGAACGACAACAAAGGGGTGGCTCGGATATACGGCCTGGTGGACGACGGACCTCTCACTCAACCTCTAGGCTCGGTCCGGACTGACATCCCGAACCTCTGCCTCGCCTTCCCGAACCACTTCCACCACCGGGTTGCGCCGTTCGAGCTACAGGACAAAACCCGTGCCGGCCACCGGAAGATTCTTGTCTTTTTCCTGGTGGATCCGCGGGTGGCAATCGTATCCACTGCACGCGTGCCACCTCAGCAGCTGAGCTGGCAGAGGAGGGAGCTGGAGAGAAAAGGCCACCCGTGCTCGGTCCTGCCTGGGTTAGCTCTAGATTTGATTGCAGAGGGAGTGAGTGGGGGAGAGGATGGGGAAGAGGATAAGGGAGAAAGTAGTGGTGTGGAGCGAGGTGGGGAGGAGGGTAGGGTTGATGAGGGAGAGTATGGAGGCGAGGGGCAGGGTGTGGGGAGAGAGAGCAGGGATGGCAGGGGTGCAGCGATGACGATGGAAGAAGCAAAGAAGTACCGGGAGGCTCTGATGGAAGAGAGAAAGGCGCTGGTTCAGCTGGCCAATGAGGAGCTGTTTGAACGGCCCTTTTCGCTCTGCGAGCACTGATGGTGGAAAGTAAATACCATAAGACAGCTGTCGTATATGGTATAATGAATCAGCTGTTAGGAGGACGCTGTTCAGCTGGGAATGATGAGCTCTTTGTGCAGCCTTTCTCCCTGTGTGAGCACTAATAGCAGGGATGTGCTCTTCCCACGTGTCCCCTTGCTTCTGATGTCTTACTTTCCTTCCCCTCTGTATGTGCCCTTTTGTCCCTCCTCGCATGCCCCCCCTGCCCCCCTGTCTAACACCAGCATCAGGGCTCTAGGAGAGAGTGATCTAGCTACAGGGGGAGAAATTCTCATGATATCAGCAGCACACTACAGAGTAGATATTTACGCTGCGCGTCTGTACAATACATCACATAGCACACACCCTTGTGTTCAAGAGCATTTCAACATAAGCCTATATTTTCATGTATTTGCAGGTCTAACGTACTCCTAAAATTTTATATTATGTGAGAGGAATGAATGTGCTGTTAGATTTATTTATCTCAAACGAATGACCCTTTGAATCTCCACAGAATCTTTCTCAACCAATACTACCGAACAAAAGTGAACAAGTCCCAATACAAGTGGCACTAACCGTTCGGATTTCCTCGGGATTGTTCTCAACCGAGATGTTTGAACATAAGTTGCGAGGTCCCTAGAAACACCCTTGATAGTGTCGACTTGGGTTTGGTCGACCGACAAGACAGCCCTCTCCTCTTCTCCCTCAACTCCAATCCCGTGGCGTTCACGGTACGGCATTCAGGGTGTGCGTACATAGTTTCGACACTCGAACACTCAGACTCGGACCAATCGCATTAGCTAGAATCTTCAGACTGAAGTCCGAGGGATCATTGTCCGGAATGTCTGTGCGAGAAAGGTCGGCGTTCTTGACGGCGGTGTTCTTCCTTGCAGCAATAATTGTGTCGTAAATAGCTGTCGCGTTTCGAGTCGCGACGTCGGCACGGGTCATGGGTGTTTCCGCGAAGGAATCCTATCGTCGGCGGCACGTGTGTAGTAATTTCAGCCCTTTTTACACACACGCGGCGCGCGGGTGTCGCAGCCATAGCCGTCGTATGCACTTTTCCTTTCTTTATTTTTTCATACCAAGTCACCGACGTACCGCAGCCGCATTCCGAATCCAAATCGCTGTAGATACTCCGAATGCGACGAGTCGCGATTGCGGTCAGAGGAGCGAATTCCATCCGAGTCACTCGGATTCCCGTAACCCTTTGCGTCGGCAGGGGTCCGAATCGCCGATAGCTCTACACCGCATTGGCCATGGATAACGCCATCCCCATACATTCCCCGTCAAACCCATCCGCTCCTCTCTCCACTCGCTCTCCCATCAGAGTATATAGCACAGCCTTGCCCCATCACGTCTCACAAGTCACCACCACTCGAACCAGTCTCCCCATTGCAACTTCCCCATTGTAACTCACCGCTCCCTTCTCCTAATAATCAAAAGCCTTGCGAGTCTGCTGCTCAACCCCAACAATCATGGCGATCATAGTACCACTTCCCTCGCCGCGGTCTCCGCTCCTCCTCGTCCTGCTCGCGCTGCTGCTGCTCTCGTCCGCGCACCTCCCCCTCCGCGCGCGCGCGCAGCAATGCTCCGCCACAACTCTTTGCGCCGACAACCTCTGCTGCAGCGAGTGGGGATGGTGTGGCTCCACCCCCGATTACTGCGGCTCTGGCTGCCAATCCCAGTGCTCCCCCTCCGCCTCCTCTCCCCCTCCGCCCTCAACCGACTCCCCTCCGCCCCCTGCTGAGCTGAAGTGGATGGCGTATTTTGTCAACTGGGCGGGCATGGACCCATCGGTCATCCCTGCTGCCACGCTCACGCATGTCTTCTACGCCTTTGCATCCATCGACCCCACCACATACCAGGTACCGTACTGTCTTGCCATTTACACTTCTCTGTGCCATTTGGTGCTATTCAGACATTCCGCTTCCATTTCCTGCCATCCTAGGCTCATCACACCGTATTTCCTGCCTCAACTCCGTGCTTAGGCCCACCATGCTCCGTGCATCCTTAACTCAGTATTCCGTACCTTCTCTCCCATTTCACAGGTCATCCCATCCAACCCAGCAGTGGACGTGACCGAGGGTCTCTATCTGCGCTTCAACTCCGCCCTGAAAGATACCAACCCCGCCATCAAGACCCTCCTCTCCATCGGGGGCTATTCCGCAGGCACCACCGCTTTCGTCAACGCCGCCTCGTCCCCCTCCTCCCGCTCTGCTTTCATCCAATCCGCGATCACCCTCGCCCGATCGTACAATTTCGACGGTCTGGATCTCGACTGGGAGTTCCCAACGGGCAACGCCGCCCTCTTTTCCGCCCTGGTCACGGATTTCCGGGCGGCGATTGAATCCGAAGCCGCTTCGTCTGGAAACCCCATGCTCCTGCTCTCTGCAGCAGTTTCTGCATACGAGCCGACAATCGCTGAATCCTACGACGTCCCGACACTCAACAGTGCGCTGGACTTTGTAAATGTTATGACCTACGATCTGCATGGTTCATGGGAGTTAACCACCGGCATGCACACTGCTCTGGAGGACCTGAGCAACCCCCAGCTGAGCCTCAAGGGTGCCATGGCTGCCTGGGTGTCCCGAGGCTTGGCCCCGAGCAAGGCCATGCTCGGCCTGGCGATGTACGGCCGAACCTGGACTCTAGCCTCGGCAAGCAGTACTGGGGTTGGAGCTGCGGCCACTGGGCCTGGTCAGCCTGGGTCTATCAGTCAGGTGAGCTCTTCCCTTTCCTGTTTCTTCTCCGCAGCATGCTTCTCTCCCTCTCTCACATGATCACAGCCTTTTTGCAGCTTTTTTTTCTTTCACTTTCACTTTTTCCTTCCTCTTGCACTTTCAGAATGCAACTTATTCCCTTTTCCCTGAGTCTAAGCAATCAGCTCCAAGCAGGCTCTCATCACCCTCTTCCTTGGCCTGCATTTTCCCTCTCCACCCCACCAACAGGAAGCTGGTGTTCTCTTTTACAGGGAAATCGATGAGCTGGTAACAACTGGAGGTTACACAGCTACGCTCGACGCCCCAACATCCTCTATGTATGCGGTAAATGGTGACCAGTGGGTTGGTTACGACGACCCTTCCACCATCACCACCAAGGTCCAGTTTGCCAAGACGCAAGGCTATGGAGGGTGGTTCTTCTGGGCAATGAGCCAGGATGTGAACGATGCTCTGCTCAATGCTGCAGCCGCAGCGTGAGATGAAGGACGACAAAAGGAGTATCTTACTGGGGATTTCGCTTGATGTGTTGTGTATACAAGTTTATTGAGAGTTTTAGGTGGATGTGTGAATGGTTTTATCGAGTTGTATGCTTGAATAGATGCAGTTGCAATGGTTGATGTTTATATAAACCAGGCTACAAGCTAGTTATTTCTTTGCAATGTATCCAAAAAGGAACATTACAATACGATTGCTTCACGTATAATCAACCATTCTGTTTCCTACAGAATCGCTCTCAACCTCCATCACTGAGGAGAAATGCGTTTGTACATCATTTCGACATTCCCTCGACATTCCCTTGACTTCCTTAGGGCGTGTAAAATCCCCGCAAATTTGCAAAATCTGCTTTTGGCCGGCTTTACGTCGACCATCTGGTCGACATTTCTTTCGCGAAAGTCGACGGATTGGTCGACTTCGTGTCGTCACATTTACAGCCACTATTTGAAGATTTACAAACTTTACAGGTTTGAGGGCCGAATTTCAGGCCGGTTTAAAAAGGTTGTAAAATTTGCAGTTGCTACAGTAGGAACGTATGTGCGACGGGGTCGCACATTTGACAGCGAAAACTCTGATTGGACAAGATAAAAAGATTCAGTCGTTCTGCGAGACCGTGCGACGTCGTACGTGACAGTCGCTCATGGTGTTTTTTTTTTTTTTTTTTTTTTTTTTTTTTTTGGAGGTGAAAAAGCACTATACATAGCGAATATACAGTGCGAAACACCACGGTCGTAACCGATTAGGGAGGGCTTAGGTCAATGTGCCGTGCCCTTGTAGGGTGTTATGAGTTGTATGAAAGAAGAGTGCGCAGAATGCAATATCGCGGAAGTGATTACAACTACTGAGCAAACAACGAGGCCTAGGTATAATATAGCACAGCTAGCTAGGCCGAGGTCGCGGAGTCGCGCGAAGGTTGGGTGCAGGTTTGGGGTTGGGAAACCCGAGGGCGACGCGGGAGACGTTCGGAAGGCGAGGTCGTCGGACCGAGCCTGAATTCCGAAAGTTGGAATTGTACGCGTAAGAGATGCCTCAGTAAGGAATTAGCGAAATTCCTTACACTACCCCCCCCCTTAAGAAAGGTGGTCGATATCAGGCACATGTCGGCGAGAAAGATACTGCCGAAGTACCGAGTGCCCTTGTAGTGAGTCAGCCGGGACCCACGTGTCATCGTCGCTTGTGCGATCCACCCAGCGTAGCAGGAAGTCGACGTGGCGTCCGGCGGGGGTCGCACGAATGCGATGGTTCAATATCTTCCAAGGTTGAAGCGTCGGGTCTGCCACAGGTCGGACACTTGGCGCCTGGTGGGGTCGGGCGACGTCGGACGACTGCGGTGCCACATAGTGGCGAAGTAAACTGACGTGGAAAGCGTCGTGGATTTTCCAGTCGTCCGGTAGGAGAAGTTTCGCAGTGACCGGTGTCAGCATCCGAAGGATGCGAAAGGGTCCCACGTAGCGGGGACGCAGTTTTGCAGGCTGGGGCAGCTTGAGGTTTTTTGTGTCCAGGAGGACCATCTGCCCGTCACGGAAGGGTAAAGTCCGTCGATGTCGGTCGGCGTAGCGGCTGGCGGCCGTATTAGCCTTCCGGATAAATTCCGCTGCTTTGTCTCGCGCTGCTTGTAGTTCCGAAACAAACTGCTGCGACCTTGGTACCGGGTTATCGGGAGTTGTTGACGAGGGTACTACCGGATCTATCCCGTAATTCAGGTAGAACGGCGACTGCTTGGTTGTTGCAGATGGGGCGTTATTGTACGCAAACTCGAGCATGGGAAGGGAATCCTCCCACTTGGTGATGTCGGGGCAGTTCGTGCGAATCAACTGCTCCATCGTCTGGTTTGTCCTCTTTGTCTGTCCGTTGGTCTGTGGATGGTACGACGACGAAAACTGCAGGCGGGTGCCGTACTGTGCCCACGTCTCCTGCCAGAACTTCGACGTGAATTTTGGGTCGCGGTCGCTGATTATCGCCGATGGCAACCCGTGTAGTCGTACGACGGTCGAGATGAAGAGCTTCGCTGTTTCTTCGGCTGTGATCGTCGTGCGGCATGGTGCGAAATGCGCCATTTTCGTTAAGCGATCGACGACGACAAGTACCGAGTCGTTGCCACTTGCGCCCGCCGGCAGTCCTGTGACGAAATCCATTGTCACCTGTTGCCACGGTCGTTCGGGTGGCTCGAGGGGTTGCAGCAATCCAGCTGGGCGTTGGCGTGATGACTTCATTGCTTGGCAGGTCGGGCAGGCGGACACGTAGTGCTGCACGTCGGACGCCATGTCGGGCCAGTAATAATTCCGTTGCAGCAGCTTCAACGTTTTGTCGACGCCGAAATGCCCGGAGAGGTGGAGTCGTGTACTTCCTGCGTCAGCAATTCTCGTAAGGGTCGGTAGGAAGGTACCCAAACTCGGTTAGTACCGACTTTTAGGTAGTAGCTCCCATGCGCCGTGGTGACCCCGTGGTGTTGATTGGTCCGGAAAAACCGGTCAATCCTGTAGCCATGCTTGAATAATCCTGTCAATAAAGGGTTAGAATGGGCGATTAGTACTGCTGCGGTCTGCATTGATGGTCGGGTCAGGGCGTCGGCGATGTTGTTGGCGCCCTTTTTGTACGTGATGGTGTAGCTGAAATTGGACTCGAGGTAATCGAGCCACCGGATTTGTCGCGGATTGAGTTGTGGTTGGTTGCGCATGTATTGTAATGACTTGTGGTCGGTTCGGACGGTGACGTCAGCTCCCGTGAGGTAACAGCGCCAGGTACGAAATGCATGCACGATGGCGAGCATTTCCTTGTCATGGACCGGATAGTTGCGCTCGGGCGGCTGCATTTTTCTTGATTCGCACGCGATGGGTTGCAGCCTGTTGCCGAAGTCCTGTAGCACAGCGCCCACGGCGAAATCGCTGGCGTCCGTCACGACTTCGAACGGTCGAGATGGATCTGCTAGCCGAAGCACCGGGGGTGAACTCAAAATTTTCTTCAGCTCGTTGAAAGCCAGCTGTTCTCTCTCCCCCCAACAGAATTGCACGCCCTTATGCAGAAGATCGGTTAACGGCCTGGTCACCCCCGCCATATTCGGTACAAAACGGCGGACGTAGTTAACGAAGCCGAGGAAACTCTGCAACTCCGTGATGTTCGTGGGCGGCTTCCACTCCGAAATCGCCGTCACTTTGCGAGGGTCAATTTTAATGCCCTCCCCTGAAATCACGTGCCCCAGGAACTCCAGCTCCGACTGTAAGAACTCACACTTAGAGCCCTTAGTAATCAGTCGGTTCTGCTGCAAGCGCCGGAACACTTCCTCGAAGTCCTGTAAATGCTGCTCCCGAGTCTTGCTGTACACCAGGATGTCGTCCAGATAAACGATAACTTTTTTGTCCAGCATGTCCCGAAACACCCCATTCATGGTGAGCTGGAAAGTCGAGGGCGCGTTCGTCAACCCGAACGGCATCACAGTGTACTCGTAACTGCCGTAGCGGGTGCGAAACGCAGTATTCGGGCAGTCGTCGGCGAACACGCGAATTTGGTGGTAGCCACCTCGGAAATCGATTTTCGAGAAGAAGCGAGCCCCGCGAAGCTGATCCAGCAGGTCGTCCGCTCGTGGGATCGGGTAACGTGACTTGATCGTGACCCGGTTCAACGCTCGATAGTCGATGCACATGCGCAGGCCTCCGTCCTTTTTCGGTGTGAACAGTATTGGGGCGGCGTATGGTGACGTGCTCGGCCGGATAAAACCCTTCGAAAGCAGATAATCCAGCTGTTTCCGCAACTCGTCGAGCTCCGGTTGGCTGAGCCGCCACTGTGACCGAACAGTTGGTTTTGCGCCTGGCTCCAGCTCGATCCTGTGGTCCTCCGGACGCTGAGGTGGCAGCTCGTCAGGCAGGTCATCCGCGAAGATTTCGGGATACCTCCGAATTATGCTCGCCACGTCGTTGGGTACAGCAGCGCAGAGCGTGTCGATGTCGGCGATTTTTTCGGAAGCCCCCACCTCGTACAGCTGTACGGCGTAGCCTTGCGCTCCCCGTTTTATCGCCCTCTTCATCGTTATTGCGTTGACACGTGTTGTCATCGGCTCCGGCTCCGCCCATTTCGGAAGTGTCACGCGGCCCTTGTTGCACAGCACCGTGATCGCCCCCGTCGTCCAGTCGATCGTCGGATTGAAACGCTGTAGCCAATCTCGTCCCAGCAGCACATCGCAACCGTCCAGTGTTGTCGCCAGCATTCGCATTGAAAACCCGAAATCGTCGCCACACTTCATCCGAATTTGTCGGACCTCGTCTTTTATCGCCAGCGGTGTCCCGTCCACCAGTCGCGCGTCAATCTCGGGCAGACACCTGTCCAGTTTGACCCCTATTTTTTTTGCCGTTGCCAGGTTGACGAGACTGTGGCTCGCCCCACCGTCAACGAATAATTTTATTTTATAGCCGTTAACCCTCCCCACGACCAGCACAGGGTGATCCACGTGTTCATCCACCTTATTCGTCCGGTTGCGGTCGATAGCCCGTATCGGTACCACCACTCGGTGTGGATGTTGATTGCCGGGCGACGGGGTCTCGTCAGAAGGTGGCCCGACTGCTACTGACTCG